GGTCTCTCCTGTCCGCGCTGGTTTCTGTGTGCTGGTCACTCCAGTCTCTCCTCGGGTCTGCATTGGTCTCAGCGCTGGTCCGCGCTGGATCTCCTCCCAGGGTCCAAAATATTTTGAGATTAATCTCAAAACATTTTGAGATTCATCTTTAAAATAATACATAATATATTTTTAAATTAAGCTCATAACATTTTGAGATTAATCTCATCATATTCTTAGATTAATCTCATAATTTTGCTAGTTCGACTTTATATTCATAATATTTCGACTTTTAAGTCAACATTTTATAACTTTATTCTCAGTCTGGCAAAAGCCTGCTTTAGGCCTGTTGCTGTTTCCTCTGGCGTCTGCACACGGCCCTGCAGTCCCTTATATGGGCATTAGTGGGCGGTTACTTATGCTAAGTACCTATGGTAATGAAGCACCTGGGACGCGCGCTGTACTTATGAGGAAATGGGATTCATCAATCTGAGAGAACAGCTGCGAACAATTCAGCGGCTTACGAGTGCGTTGATGAATCCCACGTGGGGACTTCTTAGAAATCTACTTAAGGACAACTTGAGAAGAAAGTTGAGTAGTTTCTTACGAAGTTATTCGTGAATGAGGCCCAATGTGTTCTCTCCACTCCGGTGGGATAGTGCAAGTTGGGCTCTGTCAGAGAATGAACCAGAGAGCGCTTTTTGCAGGCAGTAAATCCTGCTATTGTTTGACTCTTTTCCTGCACTGTATATATTTTCCACTGTTGTTTTTTGGTGTAAATAAAAACCCAAAAGTCAATGGGCCTCATTCACAAATAACTTCGTAAGAAACTACTCAACTTTCTTCTCAAGTTGTCCTTAGGTAGATTTCTAAGAAGTCCCCACGTGGGATTCATCAACGCACTCGTAAGCCGCTGAATTGTTCGCAGCTGTTCTCTCAGATTGATGAATCCCATTTCCTCGTAAGTACAGCGCGCGTGCCAGGTGCTTCATTAGCATAGGTACTTAGCATAAGTAACCGCCCACTAATGCCCATATAAGGGACTGCAGGGCCGTGTGCAGACGGCAGAGGAAACAGCAACAGGCCTTTACACGGAGCAAAAGAGTCACCCAGACTGAGAATAAAGTTATAAAATGTTGACTTAAAAGTCGAAATATTATGATAATAAAGTCGAACTAGCAAAATTATGAGATTAATCTAAGAATATGATGAGATTAATCTCAAAATGTTATGAGCTTAATTTAAAAATATATTATGTATTATTTTAAAGATGAATCTCAAAATGTTTTGAGATTAATCTCAAAATATTTTGGACCCTGGGAGGAGATCCAGCGCGGACCAGTGCTGAGACCAATGCAGACCCGAGGAGAGACTGGAGTGACCAGCACACAGAAACCAGCGCGGACCTATAGGAGAGACCGCATAGACTGGAGTGACCTGACTGGAGAGACCGGTGCGCAGAGACCAGCGCGGACCGAAGATAGACCGCATAGACCAGACTTGAGAGACCAGCGCGGACCCGTATGGATCCAGGAGCATGCAGCACGGACCCGTATGGAGAGAGACCAGTGCAGACCCGTATATGGGAGAGACCAGTGCAGACCCGTCTAGATCCACGGGAGAGACCAGTGCAGACCCGTATATGGGAGAGACCAGTGCAGACCCATCTAGATCCATGGGAGAGACCAGTGCAGACCCGTATAGATCCATAGGAGAGACCAGCGCAGAGACTCAGCGCGGACCCAGTAACCTCCTGCAGCAGCAGTATATATGCCGTTGTTCTGTGGCCCGTGGATAAAGAAATGCCCCCTATAAATAGGAAGGGGTCACTAATACACGGCAAGATTTCCAATGTATTTGATAAAGCGTTGGCACATTTCATTTCAAAATGAATTAAAAAGTAGGCCAGATCTGCAGTGAAAAAGGCGGTATATAAATAAAGATTACTAATAAAGATTACTACAAATAAATAAATACATACATCGATATGACGGACATATCACTGGAATGTTGTATTTTTATTCAACTTCACCAAAGAGGACAACCCCAGCGTGTGAACATGTCGGCACTGAATGCGTACGAGTGCTCCTGAGGACTCGTAGGATTTGTACTTGCCCAAGAGAAATTCTGGTTACGAGAAATATTCGTGAATGCCACTTTCTTCGTAAAAACCGCGTAAGTAGGATTTACGTACAAATCTGTTCCTAAGAACCGTTCGTGAATGAGGCCCAATGTTTTTTTTTTTCTGACTGAGCAATCTTTTTTTTTTTACAACCTCTTCAAACGAACCCTTCATAGTAATATTTGATTAAAATCAGACACATATTTAACTTCTTATACAGTATGGATTTATTCCACTTTAGAAAACGAAACAAAACAGAAAAATTTCACATCAGAACAGAATACATTGCACAAGGCAGAGATTTTGTCATTAGTCATGGTTAGCCTGTCTCCTTCACACCAGACTCAGCAGCAGCAATGGCTCATGGGAGCTCTGGCCACTCCTCACCTCACACAGCAGCAGAGAAGATCTTAGCCACATGCTTTAAGAGGTGTCTGCTTTGGAATTTCAGTGTTCAAAAACCTCGGCTTTCACATTGATCACAACTCTATCATTGACAGATTGCTGGTGTTGGATATAACCTATTAATATTATTTACAAAATCTCTGTACAATCAAATACACACAAAGAAGCGGGGTTCAGTCCTGCCATGTGTCCACAACAGGAAGTCTGACTGTATTAGTAATGAGGCCGGGTGCAAAAACAAATGCCATGTTTCTAGGAGAAAACCGACTGCAAGCCAGAGCAGAGCTGTACAAACAGATGCATAGATCCAAAAGTCTAGTTTCAGTTCCTAAATGAGTCAAACTTTCTGGTCACTTCCAAGCAGGACTGATACTTCCAGACATTTCCAGGATTTAAATCAAATATACAAAACATTCTAGGCAGACAAAGGGTATGTTTGGCGCATTTGTGATTTCATCAATGGAGACGTTACTGCATAGCCTTCAAAATGGACGTTTTGAAACATCCGGTTCTGTTTTTTTTTCATATATATAAACATTCCTAATATAACTGCAACATGCACTGCTCTCTGAAGTCATGGTCCCGCAACAGTAGAATGCACTGGACTATTTTCTGATAGAATGTTTAAAAAAAAAAAAAACAACCAAACAAAAAACAGTTACTTTCTGTGATCAAACTGAAGTAAAACACTGAAGATAAAACGTTTAAAATGTATTTGACAATTATGAATGAATAATACATGGCTCGGTTGTCTCTTAAAAGTCAATGCCACAATCATGAAAACTGGCTTCAACACAATAAGAAAGTTATAAAAATCCAACCCTGTCTTTCTTTTGACTACGGATTTATGTAGTAAAAATATAAAATGTAGAAAAAAAAGTAACCAAAAGGGCACACGTGAGTGAACAGAGTGAAGGCCTAAACAGGGGTTGTGGGATTTTAAAGCAAAGGGGACACCTGCTCAAGGCTGTGGTTGAAACGCAAACATGATAGAGAGAAGGCAGAAGTGTGGGACAAAAACACTTGTATCATGCACCATTGTTACAGAACGCTTTTTAACAATACTTCCCAGTGACATTTTTGCGTATCATTAACCTTTCCCAGTTAAATGACTTGAATCATGATCTGTTTTCCATTAAAGATTACAGGACTCACACAATCACCTTGCTTGGAATCACTAAAGGAACACCACGTATTATTCTACTGATTATGTCGTACCAGAAGGTTAAGAAAAATCACGTACATTTCATGGTAAAGTGAGGCATTCGTACAATCAAATCATATTTAAAAAACGAATTCACAAAACATGTCCAGTAGCCTGCCTTTGAAACTTTTCTACCACAAAAATAAAAGGCATGTTTACAGTACAGTGCAGTATGGAAAATGTATCCCAGTAACACAAAAGGAAGCAGTGAATACATTGAAAGCATCGGTTCATGTTGCACTCATTAACCACAGGTTAAACTAGAATAAAAACCATTGCTAGCAGTTTCAGTTAGTACGTTTTGTAGTAGGAATTTGCAAACAATACAAATTAAAGTAGAGTAGGAGCCAACGCAGACTGAACTAATGCCTATTTTGAAGTAATTTACATTTCCTGCAATTCATATGGTAATGGAAGTGATAAGTCTTACTGTATCAGAAATACATTTTGCATATGCCCTAAGATTAGGAATCATTTCCCTCTTGGTCCTGTCCCATAATCTGCATGTGTACACTCTTCAAGGCAGCAGGCGGCACTGTAGTTTAGGTCACTTAGACAAAGTCATTGGGAAAGAAGTTACAACAAATAAAAGAATGGACCAATAGTAATGCTGTAGTGCTACCAGGTGGAAGACAATGCCATGGTCCCGACAACAGTGTTGTAATGGGGGAAAGGAAGAGAAGCTAGACCACCTGATCATAATATTCTCTGAGTATTTACAGTGTAATAAACCAACAGGTTGCTTTACTTTAAGGATGAAAGGATTTGGAGGAATATTTAAAAAGTGGCTTTGGCCAGTAGAATTATAGAATATATGTGTGACTACTTCAAGCACTTGATTTGACTGTCGCTGTCTGAGCGATCGTGTGTAAACTGTGGACAGCTAGAGTCATAAAAAGACCAAAAAGATTTCTGCATAACGTTGCACAACCAGTCACTGGGGCACTACAGCGTTTAGGACTTTATGCTACAGTAGCTATTCACAAAAACAAGCAAAGTAAAAACCACTCAGTGCCTTCCACAGTTAAAGGAAACACTTGAGCCAATTATATTATAGAATAAATTAATCTTACAATAATAAAATTTCTTATAGGGAGCCTCTGGTTGGGGGAAGCATATTAGAAGTTACCCCTATTTACAGAATATAAATTAATAAAATGGCTTTTCCCAGTTTCTACAGTATATTCCCTCCCCTTGAGAGTTCCTTTAGTGGCCTCAGTGAGACCGTTCAGCAGCATTGAGGAACACAGTCAGTTGACATCACAGTTGAGAGAAAGGAGGCAGAGCTGGTCACAGCTCCTCAGAAGCTTTAAGCAGCTCCATCAGAGCCCCCACTGCTCCAAAATACCCCTGAGAAGAAAAAACAACATAATTTCCAAATACTACAGAATTTAAACATATTTCTAATACTTCACATACCTCATGTTCGAGAAAGAGAGCTCGTAGCTGTCCTTTGGACCAGAAGTCCATGGCGTAGGCTAGCAGTTTGGTGGATACTGTGTTGATACGAAGAAAGTTCCCCACAAATACCACACGCTCAATTTTCTGTAACAACGAACAAATATAAATAAGATAAGAGAACATTTAATTGTCAGTTATGTTGCAGTACAGTAGTAACAGCAAACCACCTGCACACAATATACAATACAAGTAGTCTGAACGACAGTGCTGCCCTCTATTGTCAAGAAAAGGGGCCAGACTCACAACAACATACATGAAGTATTCATAATGTTACATTAACTTATTTGAAGATCAACTTGCCCCCCTGGGGGTCCTACCTCCCACTGCATTTTTTCTCACTTTGACAGGTATCCATACAACAATAGAGCAAACATGGTATTGACAGAGACACATTTTTTCACTAGATCTGTAGAATAAGCAAATATGTGATATTATAATATATAATACTGACAATATTAACACCTCTTGAGAAGATACCTAAACTGCAGATGCTTTGCCAGTCGCAAATGCAGAAAAGTATAATTGCATTCCATCTTGCCTGTGGAGGAGTGGAGCCTGGTTTGCTTCCTGACACTCCAACAAAGGGGGCGGAGCTATGTGTCTTACGTGGGAGTGAATGAGGACGAGAGCGACTTGTCTCTTTTATAAAAATTGTTTTAAATCAATATTGAGATATTAAATGAACCAGATATTTAATAATGAGCCGGGGAGGAAATACATTTTATTATTTATTATTATAGAATGGCCCCTGAAGTTAATGAATTTCAGTGAGATTCTGACCTCATGGTTGTTAAAAATTCATAGAAAATGTCAAAGGAGAACAAAAGGTTATCTACAAGCCGTACACTATTCTATTGTGCAACGTGACTGTGTCAAAAATGTTCCTGGTCTTCTACATGTTGTTTTGTTGTTGTTTATAAACAAGGACAGTAATAATGAGTGCAGGCTGTGTGACTATGTGCTGTGATAGCCCTGTACAATGCTGCTTGATTGCTATGTCACAAGGCAACACTGTAAAGAAGCCCACAGAACACAGAAAGTCTCTACTAGTCCGTTGAGAACAAACCTGACGAACCTGTTCTACTACATTTAGATAAAGAAGACGGCGGCCGCCTTCACCAGGAGAATGTGCTTACCTCATTGACTGCACACATGCGAGCAATAGATCCTATGTTATTGGTGATGGTGACAAGTGTGGCTCGAGCCAGGTCCTCCTTACTGATGCTGTCCCGTTTCTCTTTGCACATCATGTGGCCAAAACTGGGGAAGAATATTCACTAATTTATACATGATTTCAAGGAATTATACAATTTGTAAAACTGTCTTTTAAAATGATATTACTGATTTAAATGTCGTGGTACGTATCGGCATTTATTCATCAATTTGTTGCAATTAATAATGAGTTCAATAATTGACAAGTGTTGAAGTTATGTGATTTGAGGGCTCAGACAGAGCAGTAACCAGTTACACAACTATCAGAATTGTTTTCATCACAAAAAAATTGATGTTTACACAATTCCTATTTGTTGTCCTCCATTGGCTTGAGCTTTCTCTCGTTGAATTTCACATCAAATCTCATGTCAGCTTTTGGAGCAACAAATTAATAGAATGAATAATTTCTGTATTACGTGATAATAAAAATCATTGTTAGCCCTTAGTGAGACATTTCGACTCCATAGTCATTTTCATGAAGCAATATTCTGATATTGCTTATATTTTGTTATTTTTTAGATATATTTTGTTTTGAATTGTAACTTCCTACACAGTATACCAACAACTATTAGTTACTGACCCCCACTTGATCATGTAACTCTTTATCCCCATGGAATTGCTAGATGCACACAGTCAAAAATCACAGTCAATTTCCTAGTGGCTGTGTCTTTTTGTGGTGCCCTGAACTTGCATGATTTTAAATTCATTTTGTGCAGGAGGCTAAAGGAAAAAACTAATGTTGCCAAAGTGAGTATACAAACAGCTTTTTGGGCCATTGTTTACTTACTACAAACATGAATCACTTCTGGAAAAAAATACTGAGTTGCATATATATGTGTGAAATGTGCTACACAAACAAACGATGGTTTTGACGCTGTTTTGATATATTTGATTACAACTAGGACGAGCGTGCAAGTGCTAACCTGGATGCCACAGCTGAGCCCTGCAGACCAAAGCGCTCATAGTCTCCTCCATATATATCTTTAACCAGTTTGTCGACATTAGTGGAATCCCCCTTGCTGGCCATTTCCAGGGCTTCTTCAAATGTTTCACACCCTGTGAGCAAGCAGCAGAGCCCCAGAAAAGTGCCACCTCCAAGACTGCACAAGAAGAGAAATCATAGTTATGCTGCGTACAATAGGCATTACGTCTACACACACCAAGGTAGGCATGACTGGGAAAATTTTCTATTTATGGTTTGAAATACTGCGACTACTTCCATGATGACAAAAGAAAGAAAAACGACTAAAAATATGTCTTTAATTTGACTACCATTCACATCATGAATATGGAAAGGATCACAAACAAATTACACAAAAGGAAGTCAGTTCAAAATGAAGTCATTGCCTTTAAAAAAAAAAAATCCCCCCCCAAAAATTGATAAAAAATAAAATATGCAAATAATGTATTACTTTAACTATTACCAACTCATATTAAAGTAGGAGTTATGATGGTTCTCTTTTCTGTCTGAAAAATACAATCTAGGGATGAGCAAAAAATACATGAATTTGAAAACTAGTGATAGAAGAAAAGTATTTTGAGAACGAGGAACTAGTGAATGGATTATTGGCGTTAGTGTTAAGTCCTCCAGCTTTAATAACAAACATTAATAATGAATTTAGCAATATTAATCCCAGAAGTTGAAGTGAGGCCGCACACCTTGTTCCAGTAACTCGCTTGTAGTTATCCTGAGAGTAGACCGCCAGAATGGACACGCCTGATCCGATGTTGACCAGCAGCATGGGGAAAGGGTTGTCTAACGTGCAGGGCCTCTTCACACAGTTCTGAGTGTCTGAGGGGTTCTGAAAATAGTAGCACTCGGGGTGACCGTTGAAGCCCACATGATCCACAAACAGGAGACCACGAATCAGGCAGTCCAGCTCGTCCAGTTTCAGCAGCTCCAGGTCGGCTATCTGCAAGAGACATTGTAAATATTATGGTGTATATGGTATAAGTTATGAGTGTCTTTTTCAACTCGGGGTTACTATTTACTTCACACTCAGAAACAATGCCGTGAACAGTGAAAAAAAATGGAAGCAAGACTTTAAAAAAACAATAATAATTATTGATTACGCGGCAATCGAAACTCATGACGTCGCCGAGGTGTCCTAATTAGCAGTGGAGACACGGCCACTGAGAGGGCCGAGTGAGATGGAAACTCCTGCGGTGGAAACGCGACTATTTTCACTCACTCATAAGAGTGAGTGATAAGGCCGATCCTGATCCTGTTTGCGCTAACGTCCAGCATTTAGCTTAACGCAGAATTTGCTTATTGCAGAATGTAACCAAGTAAACAAGGAACTGTAAGATGTTGAGATCCTGTGTCCGAATATTAAATGTCAGCGCTGGTACAAGTGTAAAAACTGGTTTGATGTTTTAAGGCTGTAAGACCCCTCACCACACATTTTTAAACTTTTCTAACCACCTGATCTCACGTCTGCTGAAGTGCGATTGCGGAGCTATCAGACCTGTTCAATGTACAGTAGGTCTGAGCTCTGCTGCAGCTGTCAAAAGCCATGCATACATTGTAAAATACAGCTGCAGAGGATACCACGCTGAGGGGCAGGGGCGAGACTGAGGGCCTCAAAGACCACGATAGTCTTCTGAAATTATCACCTTGGTGCACGCAAGCCACAAATGGTTTTCTTCTGACGAGGTAATGTTATGTTATGACGCTAACATAGCGTGTTGTTATGTTAAACTAGTGGTTAAATGAAGTTTTTTTCTTGTGACGCATGAGAAGGATAAGCTAAAAAAAGCACAAAAAATTGCAAACGAAAATGCAACAAAAGGTGAACCGCATTATAGTAATGGTATAATTATAGTAATTACAACTAACAATGACATATTTTCATAACATTTGGTTTATATAGATAGATAATTAAAGTGTAATAGTCAAAGCATAATGGTCAAACCCTGCTTGTTGTTACATAGCCTTCAATATTCCTTGACAGCAATCTACCGCGGATAAATCCTATCACTCACTCAACGTTACAAAGAGCATCTTTAATCATTTATTGGCAAATAACGGCTTACTGAAATAGTTTCAGACAAAAGGTTTTATATGGACCCTTTGTGTGTCTGAATTAAAGATTAAATAAATAAAAAATAGTATGGTGTACAGTATGATGTGTATTTAGGAATGCTTGCAGTTAGCATCCCAAACATGTTTTTACACAGTTGTTTTACTAAAAAGAATCAAGAGAGATGGGCTTGTTCACACTAAAGGGTACAAAAGTGTGACAAAAGCCAAAAATTTGATTTTAATAATCAGAAAATATCTTAAAGGAACATTATGTAAAAATCTGGCCAAAAGTGGTACTGCAGTCAGTCAATATTTTGTAGTCCTCTCCCACTCTCCCTGACTCAGGTTGCCAGATACACACCAAATCCAGCAGCAAACACAGGGAATTATGTTATCAGTTGTTTTTCTGTCTCCATTCACATTGCCATGAGGCATGCTAATGTTGAATGAATGTTTATTTTTGTTTATTTTTATTTTTTTATTTGGACATTTGAGATAAAAAACAAGAAACAAAATAAAAGCAATGTAATTATAGATTATCCAAAATAAATAAGCAATTTATGTCCAAAATAGGAGTGAGAGGAATGGATGTTGGAACGTATTTCTTCAGCGTATCAACATCAGGATTTGCTCAAGAGGAGCACCTTACAATTTTATTTATTCCCTATTTTTTAGACAAACATGTATAAGTCCCACATCAGTCCCCATAATTGGGGTACATGTGGTCTCAAATTTTTCTTTTTACAATTAAGCTATAATCTGCAAAAAAACGTCTTGACCTTTGTCTTTTACTGTTTTTAGAGCAATCTGTCATAGAATGTGATAACATGCAATTAAATACAAAAATACTCTGCCTGGAATCGAACCCGGGTTACTGCCTCATGAGCGCGTAATCTTAACCACTAGATCACCGATTTGCGCTGTAAAGACTACTGTAAAGTTGACAGAAACCATCATGTCCGTTACATTTTTCAAGGGTAATTGTAATTGTAATTATATTCATATTTTTATTTTTTATGATTCCTTTTAAAATCACACGATTTACCTATGTCATGTTATCTATGTGACCCTTGTGGGAGTTCATCTGCTGCTTTGTCACTGATGACATTTTATTTTCTATGTAACTGAGTCAGAGTTGATTTATCAAATCAGAGGCGGATCTGGGGCCGTATTCCTAAAGATTCTGAGAGTCCTCTCAGAGAGCTCTTATCTTAACCTAAAAACTCCTAGCTAGGAGTCTTAGCTTAAAAGTTATTCCAGAACACTCTTAGAGAACTCTGAGCAAGGAATTGACAACAACTTTTATCTTAGTGAGGAGGCGTGGCCGACCCCGTTGCTAGGTATGAGTCATCATTTCAGACGCTGTGATTGGTTGATCCTAAAAGTTAGAACAAACATATTTTTGATGATAATAGGCAAAATAAGGGCCCTAAAATGGACAAACTCAATCATGGAATCTAATCTTAGGAACACTGTGTTATTGTAAATAATAACCAAAAGCTATAAAGTCAGATATATCAATGGTACATAAATACTGTGAATAGTAAAGTTAGACTTATACACCATCATCAGAGCTTGCTCAGCACCAATTTATCACACATAATACGTATATATCATGAGCACTTATAATTTTTATATGAGCATATATATATATATATATATATATAATATATATATATATATATATATATATATATATATATATACATATAATTTAAATATTACTCTATATATAATATACATGATAAAGAAAATTATTATTATAAATATTATATGGATAAATGATGATAATGAAACGTTAGGATTAGTAAAGGCTGTGATATGTATAGACTTATAAGGAATTAAGGAAACAATATTAATATAAACATATTATACATACACTGTACAAATCAAGTACAAGGGAGCTTAGTCTTATCCTCTCCCACTCCTTTTTGAGCTGGATTGTTGTTAATAAAACAAAACTGTATATTTGTACTTCTATTCTGTTGTTTTGTTTGTTTTGTCCTTTTTTTTCTTGTTTGCCATGGCTCAAAATAAAGTATTCATTCATTCGTACTGAATGTGTGACAATTTAGGACCACTTTTTCCTCTCTTTCAACTTTTACCATTTCTACTTACTTTTGTGTAACAAAGGTAAAATGGATGAGGTGTTATTGCTGACCAGCCAATGAGAAGCTGGTCACATGATTGACTTTTAAATATACCACAAACATGATTCCTGCTTGAATCTGTAGCGTTTCACTGATTCACTGTCATCCAGTGTATAGAATATTTCTCCTGTCTCCACCGTCCACCATTTTGTGCTCTTAGGGAACTTTTAAGTCGCTAAAAGTCCTCCTCTCAACTCTTAAGGGATCTCCCCTTAAGAGCACTCTTAAGAGCTAGGATGTTTTAGGAATAGCTTTTATCTTAACTAGGAGCTACTCCTCACTTTTAGGGGAAATTCTAAGAGTTGGTCAAGATTCTAAGAAAATTCTTAGAATTTGGCCACTAGGAGCAACTTTTAGCAGTAAGAATCTTTAGGAATACGGCCCCTGGTCTTTTCAAACTTCAATCTTTTCTCGTGATTTTATCCTGGAATAATATGAACAAAATCTGGAATAAGGATCATGTTTGTTAAAGCTCCAAAGACAAACACAATTATGCTTATAAAAGTTAATGCAAGTACAAAGAGAACTCCATTGTAAACTTACAGATCGGAAATCATTCTCAAACTTGTAAGCTCCCCCGCCTGTGGCACAGAGGGTGGTGTGCAGGCTGGAGAAGTTCTTTTCGCTGCCCATCTCAATGAAGCGGTGCATGCCCTGTGTGGGGAAGCGGATGAAGTGCAAGTTCCCGGTCCGCCCGCACATGGTCAGGTTCCTCAGCTCCAAGTGCACATCCCGCACTCCTGTCTTACCTTTATGGACAACAAGAATAGTAATAGTTATCTTATTGGTTTAAAGAAAAATAAGCTGTTGTTGTTGGGTTACAAACCGTAGGCCACATTCGAGGTAAGGTAGCGGCGAATCGACTTGAGGTTTTCCACTTCCTCCTGCTCTTCCTCCGCGGTGATATCGACTGGCTCAAAATACACCAGCTTCACCAGGGTGCCACCAATGTCCATGCCAAACCAAGGGAAAGCTGACAGAAACCAAATGAACAGGGACGTCAATGGCTGCACTATAGAGGAAAGGAGAATTATGCGAGTTTCCATGGTAACTGAAACCCCATTCTTCTTCTTAAAACTGCCCTTCCCATATCTTTTGTTTGTTAGTCAACTCCATTATTTTGGATACACTTGATAATAAATCATTATACAGTCTACTTTTACTCTCTTGTTTATATGTTCTGGTCGGTCCCTTCCAGTTCCTTATCTTTATTGTCTTGACGTGTGAGTGGTTTTATCTTCCCAAGGGAGGTTAATGCAGAAGCTATGTAGAAAATTGTAAACATACAACATTAAGATGCCATAGCACTCAAAAAGGACCTTGTGCTGCTCAAAACATGTGGTTGTTAGACAAATTTAACCCGCCTGCTTGTCAACTAATACAACAATTTCCCAACTGCCAACTGGTTTGCCCAACTATCCTGTCAATACATAGAGGCAAAGTCTAAGTCAAACAACATGGACCCAAACTGTTTTTTACTTGAGGTTTTTAACTTCTAAAATACAAATCTTTATCTAACAGCGAAGTTAAGTGAAAAGACAGCATTCAAAAGTTGTGTAAACCAAAGCAGCAGTGTGCAGTGTTGTGATTCTGTGGGCTTACTGAGGCAAAGTCCACTCTCAGATTACAATCACTTCTTGTGCTTTCAGGTTAGGTCACTGAGAAACACCATGTTGATGAATACAAGCATGTATGATACGAGCGATGATCCAGGACGACAACTGTAAAATATGTCCATTTTTTAGACTGTACAATGAGAACTGCTGAGCATGTACATGTCTTATCATCTGCATTTTTCACTGCAATCATGTGCAATGCTGCAATTTCAGAATAACCACTTGTCACTTTATCTACTTACATCAAGACTCCTGCCCATATCCTGGTAATTTACATTATATTCTAAAAATACATATTTATTGATGCTACTAATGTATTTATGTCCCGAAAAATAAATTGAATGTTCTATGTATGTGTGCTTCTTGTGCTCTTACTTACTGTCCTATAAGTGCGCAACAGAATATCCATCTCTTTATATTTAGTTTATAATCATATCACCTTTTAAATTCCTTTCCCAACTACTGACTTGCAGAGGTGCACATGCTACAATCACTCAGGCAGCGAGAAAATACCCAATTTTTAGTGGACCAAATGGGTAATGATTGGATGGATGAAATTGCGGATTCAAATTAAATGAGTTTCCTCTGCACAGAGTAGAACTGCAGCAATTCAAGGAGCAAGTTGAGTTGGCTCGGAATGGACCCTTAGGATAAGTAGGATTCATATTTAAAATTAAATAAGCCTAAAATATTATGTTACCAAGAAACTTCTAAATTAGTTTGCAACCTTCAAAGCAGAACGTTATTTGCGCTTGATGTGCAAATGTCTCACATTTTCAGCAATATAAATTATTAATTGATTATTTTTATTTTTTTTGTAATCCATTAATTTTATTGAAATATTAAGAAGTAATTAAAGACATACTTACCACATGAAGTATGAACCAAACTGAAAGTTAATACTACACTGATTGGTTAAATTATCATAGGCCTGGCACAATCATTCCAATTTACTTACAGTTTACATACAGTATTGACAGATTTAGACAAGTCTAAACTGTATCATCTAGAATGTATCAATCCTTTATTGTGATTTTTCAGATTTTGGTCCCAATGTTTATAATAAAATGCAGAATCAGAATCTATTTATTTTTGATACTAAAGTTTACAAGGAATACTCTGTTGTTTACACATTGATCCACCCATTTCTATTCTAATATAGATACTGATACTGGCTAAAACAATAGTCATGATACCCATATTAACGGTTCCTGCTGTGCAGGGGGCAGGGACAGAAAATACACTTTTGTCCCCCGTAAACACAGTCAAGATATTACAAACTGTATGGTGTGTCATGTAACTTTTGTTGTGCCCTGCAAGTGACTGTTGAAGAAAATCTTAAAACGTAATGAGGTGTCATGATCCAAGAACAGTCAGTGAACTTATAATCTTATCTAAACCAAAGTAAAAGGATATCAGATATGCACGCTGTTTTCTCTCAATATCACTATGGAAATACTACTACATCAATATTGGTGCAGCACAAATTATCATCATGCCATATTTACCAATACAATTATTGTAATTATTTTATTATTGCCTGATCAACCAGACTTACTGCAGGCAAACTTTGGTTTTAGGTGAATAATTGTAATTCAGAATAAATAATAAGGTGGATATTACAACTTGTCCCTTTCTGGTATGTGGAAAACAAGAGTAGACTTAGTTTGTAGCAAAATCACATGGCCACACAATTTAATAGTGAGATCAATTCGGGTAGATTATATTGTTGTCACATTTTACGTGTACTTAAAAAAATTTTAAAAAGTGGACTGAAACTATTACGAAACTTACTGAAGTACATTTTGTTATGTTCATTTATAACGATAACATAACTTTGTCAAAGAGCCACCAAACAATAAGACAAGCAGATGAATTCAACCATGATCTCTATGTAACAGAAACCACACTTACCTGGTTTCTTATCACTAATAAGCTTCATTCTTGGAACTTTCAGAATTAAATATCAAGTGGAGTCAACACTTATAAAGTCCTGAAGAAAGTGAGACCTTGAAAATACGGCAATGATTTCACGACTCAACAGCCAAGCACGCACAATTTAAGCCATTCTCTGCACAAAGTGCTAATTCCACAGGGCTGCTGCTCGCATCAGGCAGAATCTCACCACACCAGTAAATAATGGGGCGGGGTCCTGCCTCATGGAGACAGAGGGCGTGCGATGGTTGGTCCAGACAAGCCAAACCCACATATCAGGAGCTTTTCACCAGCGCATTTCCACCAATCAGAGCAGAGAGCTGCTGCAATCACAGGGTGCACACAACAAAAGGGGGTCTCCCTGACGACGGCTTTGAGAGAAATGAGATGGATGATGCTTCAAAAGGACACAGCCATAATCTAAAACCATGAATGCATGGTCGGTTATGTCAACCAAAAATCACTGTGCAAGAAAGAAAACACATACCAAGGCATAGGGAAACATAAGCCTGGAAGATTATATCATGATTGTGTTACGCTGACTGATGGCACAGCAGTGGTACTCACGGGGTCTGTGTCTGCGGATGGACTCGGTCCTCCTCCGCAGTCTGGACCTCTTGGCCGGAGAGCTGGTGCAGGGGGGCTCGTCTCCGCGGTGCACAGGGTGCATGTTCTCCCCGTTCACGCTGTGGCTGAGTCCGCTGCTGCAGGCTCCATTTGCGCTCACGACAGCGGAGCTCTGAAAGCCCCTCGGGCTCTGTCCATTAGCCATTAGAAAGGGCCCCGACGCCCCCTTCTTGTCCATCATTGACTTGGCTTTATCCATGACAGACTAGCAGGAATAGCTTAGCTTAGCATCTGCAGAAAAAAGGAAAAGCCTGACGAGAAACCAGACTTGGTTAGCTTAGCCCGCTAATGTTAGCACCGCGGTAAGTCACTCGCTATAACGCTCACACGGAGGGACCGCGGCCCGTTTCTTCACAGAGAAAACAATGAAACCGGTCTAAAACCTTGCCCACATCGCGTTGACGCTGACGGAGCTCTGTGTACACACGGAGTCTACAGCGGTGTGTCTCTGAGGTCACTGTCGGTCATTTCCCCAGTGAGCACAGAGCACAGAGCAGATCCATGTGAGCACAGAGCACAGAGCAGATCCATGTGAGCACAGAGCACAGAGCAGATCCATGTGAGCACAGAGCACAGAGCAGATCCATGTGAGCACAGAGCACAGAGCAGATCCATGTGAGCACAGAGCACAGAGCAGATCCATGTGAGCACAGAGCACAGAGCAGATCCATGTGAGCACAGAGCACAGAGCAGATCCATGTGAGCACAGAGCACAGAGCAGATCCATGTGAGCACAGAGCACAGCTGCTGCTGCTGCTGCTGCTGTGGACCCGTGACGTCACTGCTCCACACCGAGACCTGAACCTGATCACCTCCACAGACTGGCTTAGTTTAGTCTCTTCTGAGTCCTGACAAATATAATATTTATAGTCTATGGTCCTGACTGATACAATAACTCTTCTTTACACTCAAGGGCTGTTGAACGTGGTACACGCACGTTTCTCTGCTATTTCTCTGCGCTGTGGGCAGTTACTTCATGATACTTCCAAGATGAATCTGACACACGTGACAAACTCCTGAATACTATGGAGTCATCGAATACTAAGGGAATTAAACGAATTATACATTTTTGTAGCATTTTCATCACTGCCATCTTGTGGTAAACCCATAGATTGTATATTAAAATAAATCAATATAACTACACGATAGTATCCATCCAGAGTCGTCCGTGACTACAGTGTGGGTTAACAAATGTGTGATCGAGGCTTGACGGCTATGGATATAACCATTTACTGAACAAGGAGTAGCCCTTCAGGGCCTGGGCACCCGCTTGCTTCTCACTGAACAGCCTCATGTAGGATGATAAGAATGATCAAAATCACAACTTTAGGGCTACTCACCGGATACAGTTATTATTAAAATAATTTTCAATTATTTAAATAAAATGTAATGTTAATCCTTGTATCATCTGAAAGTAAGAAATCATGGCAGTCCCATAGCCCATCTAGAACATATTGGCCAATCTGTTCTCAGGAAATAAAACAAAATCAATATGAAACACTAAACCACTAAATGTGATAATGTGTGATGTAATCGTTTGTGTATTACAGTACTTTAAAACATGTGTCCACAAAACTGTTCTTTATTTAACAAAGCCTTAAGGTTAAATAAGACAAATTCCCCAATGATGAAACATACATTAGTAGTCAATACAGCGGGTCCTTCTGATGAACAAATTTTACATAGATTTGACTCCAGTCATATTATTTTTTATTGAGAATGTTAATGAGAGCACATATCTTCATGTGATAGAAATATCTGGACAAAGATTATCTTAAGACATTATCACAAATTCCTGTGAACGTTTCCATAATATCTTTCATAAGGCTTTTTATGTTGGTTACATTTAACACATACATAATGAAAGCAAGGCAACTAAGGTGAAGGTGAGCACACATGTTGTTGAGCACTACCAGGGCAGCTCAGTTCCATCCCAGTTGAAGGCTTTTCCAGTCCGGTTAATGTCTAGAGTGTCAATAATGTGCATTAAGCAGTTTACGGAGTGCTCAGTGGTGAACAATTTGTCCTTTGGTACATTCTTGTGATAAGGCCTGGACAGATCTGTGTTTAGTGTTCCAGGGTGTAAAGACACACACAGCACCTGAAGAAGAAAAGTGGTCACCTTCCTGAAGACTTGTGACTTACATATTGGTCAACATTTGCTTACCTTTGGCCTAGCACGACCCAGTTCTATAGACAGATTTTTGGTTGCCATATTCAGTGCTGCTTTTGACAATCGATAACTGTACCATCCACCAAGACCTGCAAAATAAGAACAAAGTAACCCCTGGAGACATATGATTGAATTATGTTGTCACAGCTCTGCCAATGCTCTGACATTGCATGTCATTTATGTATACATGTATGAATAATCCAAAACACCAAGGTTGATCAGGGAATTCATACCATTGTCACCAATGGAGCCGACCTTTGCAGTAATGTTGGCAATGACGCCACTGTGCTGCTTAGCCTTTTCTCCAGGTTGTTGACCAAAGCCACCTCCTCCTTTTTGGAGAAGAGGTGCAAAATACTTAGCCATAACCAGAGGGCCCACGGTGTTTGTTGTCAATGTGGCTAAAATGCCCTGAAACAAGACACAAACAGGATCAAAACCTCTGTTGCCATAATTAAAAACGATGAACCACTGAGACACAAGGTAATCGAGGCAGTACTATACAGACCTGTGCAGAGACGTCCCTCAGACTGGTCTCCCCTTTCCCTGAAGGATGAAGCTGTGCGGAGGCGTTCACGAGTAGGTCCAGCCTCCCAAACCTGCTCTTCACCAGCTCCGCGGAGCCTCGGATGTCTTCCTCCGAGGTAACGTCCAGCCGGAGTAGGGTCAGCCTGTCTCTGTGCTTGGCCGATAGCTCCTGTAATCCTGCTGCTGCATCAGGATCCCGACATGTGGCAATGACCACCGCAGGACTTTTATTTAAGATATGTTTGCAGAAAGCAAGTCCCAATCCTCTACTCGCCCCTTGAATAAGCGCTACGGAGGCGGCCATGGTGCCACATGAAGTGTGCCAGAAGCATGCAGAGATGCGTTCAAGTTCCAGTTCCCGACAGTGATACAATAATTTGTCCACCTAATTGAAATATGTACATATATTACATGAGTTTGGCATCATACACCGAGTAAATAAATTACACTGCAATAAATATTTAACCATGTCAACACTTCTATACCAGATGTCCCAAAGTGGGGTCCGCGGCCCTGCGGTGGGCCGCGAGGTACGCAGGGGGCCGCGGAGGTCTAAAAAAATTTAAAAAAATAATATAATTATTTCATGTTAAATTTATAATGTTTGCTTTGTAATATTAAAATATTTGTGTTCATTAATTTGACTGATAATCCACTGTAATCCTTTTTGTATTACAATGTTGTAGCAGGCTATTTCCTTCCCAAATAAAATAACCAGAAGCCTATTCTTAATGTTGTCTTCTTGGTTATTATTTTGGGGGGCCATCGCAGACCCGTCAGATTTTTAAGGGGGCCTCGGTGTTACTGAGTTTGGGAATGGCTGCTCTATACAATATATCCTCAAACGCCCTGTGTTGAGGTTATATCGTTTCAATACAATTTACGAGGTGTGTGTAAAGGCAACATGTTTCACAACATGAACGGTGACCTCTGTAGAGAGGGACACTTACCCAATCATGTAACTTGCAGAACATTATTGCATCTGCGATATGTCACTTTTTGTTCACACTACTGTAACGTCGTGGGCATGAATGTCAACACAATCTAATCACAATTCATCGGTCGTGTTGCATCATATCCAGGAGATGGCAGCCATGTGCTTTCTCTGGATCAGAACATCAGAAGAAGAGAGATACGGCAGTTGCTTAGCGACCAGTTAGAAGCTAACAGCTAAGAGCTAACTGATGGACAGCGCGTTCGGGACATAAAATGGCTTCAAAGAGAAGGGGACCTCTACAGATTATCCGCAAAGATACAGAGACGATTAAAAAGAAGGTTTGTGTTTTGCACTGTTAAATTGTTTCAGCATGAAACGTCAATTAACAGCGTAATATCATAATCATATCTGATAAAGTTAACCAAAAACATAACAATCTGTCATCATTGCAAACACGACATAACTTTTTGCTGGATCACTACTGGTAAAGAAATATAACTTCATAGACTCTGACTCCTTTGGCCCAGTTTGAGCCTCTGAAATCTCCGTTGTTTACAATCCAAGTTCCTGCTGGAACGCGTTTATCCTTATTTGTTGTCGTCTGTTGTAGGTTGATGTTCTTGTAAAGGACGTGCTCAACAAAAGTGAATCCTCACACGATTTACTCCAGAGGTACTTGTCATTACATTTTCATTTATACAAAATATTTATCTATCCATTCTTCTGCTTTATCCTTTGCTGGAGGCAGCAGTCTGAGCAGAGACGCCCAGACTTCTCCCTCAGCGCACATCCTAGCTCATGCCTCTGCAAGGAGGCATCCACAACACAAGCCTGATTCAGCGGCTCTACTCTGAGCTCTTTGTCCTTTGTCCTATACTAAAGGAGCCACTAAGTTGAGGAAACTCCTTTCTTATACATTTTTGCTTTTAACGTGCGTACAGGTGTCAAGGGCTACAGAGAGATGGAGAAAATATACTAAAAGCACTTAATGCTTTGACAAAGGTTGGTCAAACATATATGTAATCATATACAGACCATATATAAAAGGAAGAGTTTGATGCATGACAATATTATTTTTTTCAATGACAAAGGCAGATGAACCAGCTCCTGTGGGGAACTATGATCAAAGGAAGCAGGAGGAGGCGACTAAACTGCAGAACATCCTGAAACATTTAGAGACCTTGTTTTTGGAGCTGTCGCCACCAGGACCCAGCTCTATATTAAAGTCAGCCTCTAGAACAGAGTCATAGCCCTCAGCATTAAATCAGATGTGCACTAATCAATCTTAATCTATGTTCAGTGATGTAACAACTAGAGAAGGTGAGGAAGAGGATGACGAGGATGAAGAAGATAGTGAGGATGACAGCCTCTCGCATCCAGAGCTCTGGACAGTCCTCGATACTTTTACTGGGGAGCAGGAGGGAGATCTAAGTGTTAAGGTAAAGGTTTGAAAGAGCGTTATGGAGCATAGCATTGACGTTCATCTAATTAAAAGGCTGTTCAAGCAATAATCAGTCGTGTTGTTGATCATATCACCACAAGCCTCTGTGTTTGACTGCAGAAAGGAGATGTTTTAACCATTATAACAAAAACATCTGATGGTTGGTGGCTAGCCCAAAATGTTGAAGGAAAAAGAGGAGTTGTTCCAAAAACCTTTTTAAAAATAAAAGTAAGTATAACATTACTGATCATTATAATCACCAGAAAATAACCATTTAACCTTTTACAACCTTTCAAACAATGATATGTTTCAGTCTGGTGCTGGTGTGGATCAAGAAGAGCATGATGATGATGACGATGATGAAGATGACAGTGATGAGATGGACAATCTCCCAGAAAAATCAGACAAAGAAAAATATAGCACTGAGAATGGAGAAAGGTTAAATTTATTATAAATGTTACCGGAGTTAGGTAGTTGATGCTTTACCCTCTAGAGAGCATGTAATTCTTTGTAATAACATTTGTAATTACAATTAAAGTTAAAACTGAGTTTAGGATGATTATAATGAAAGAACTAACTCTTCTCCGGCCTTTCCTCACTACTAAAAACTATGAAAAATAACTTTTGCTGTATTTTCTCTCATAGCACTCCTCATTCTAACTGGGACACTGTGAAAAAGGCCTTGACTGAGGTGATTTCTTTAGTACTTTTGTCAACACTGTTCAATAAAGAACATGCATCTCTCACATCTCTGTGTTGCAGATCGATGCAACTGACGTCCTCTCTGCCATGGGCGCCATACCGTCGGGATTCAGGCCATCAACTCTGAACAAACTGCTCACAGAAGAAGGTGGAGATGAGTTTGAAGTGAACTAACTGAATTATTATTATCTTTATGTTTATGTTTATTATTCCATAGGCATAAAATACAAAGGAAGCCATTACCTCCAACCTGAACTCAGTCAATCACAGCTGTCATTCGAAGACCTGTTTTTGGACCCAGACTCGGGCAGAGTGAGTGCTGCGACGCCTTTCAGACTCATGAATCAAATTAAGGATAATTTTAATCGCTGGTGTTTTCCTGCCGTGCACAGGTCCGCCCTAGACATGTTAAAGTGAGCGTTTGTTTCACTCTGTGGAGCTGTAAGCATATTCCTACGCCTGGAGTGGGAGTGCACGTCCTCAGCAGACACATCCATCTCTGTGCTTTTGACGGAAACCAAGTCTGTATCCAAAAAACAAAACAATTCTAACTTGTTTGTAATGTTATTGTAAAGATGTGTCTGTGTTTTAGGTCTTAAGCAACATCCACACGGTCAGAGCGACGTACAATCCCAAGAAACCCAAGACTTGGACTTTTTCACCACGGGTATAATGAATGCATGGTGTGAGATTTTGCGGGCATACATCTTTTTCAATAACAAAAAAACTTGCCATAATGTTTTAAACGTGTCAGTAGTGAAATGATTATGCTGATTTGTTTTTTTTAATCAGATGACTGGTATTCTACCCGCTCTGCTTGACGGAGACTGTTTTCTACGTTGCAACTCCTCGTCTCCAGACCTGGGAATCCTCTTTGAACTCGGAGTCACATTTATAAGAAATGTAGGGAAAATTATATTACCCTTGGGTTCCTCAACCATTTGGTGGATCACTTTATGAGTCACTTTATCTACTTGAAGCATGGAACTGAAATCTACCTCATTGGGGCGTCTACATCACTTGGTTTAGCACTTTTACAATCAAACTGCATCTCAACCATTTGGTAAAAGCCAATAATTATAAAGCCAGTGGTTGAAAAAAAAAAAAACAAGTAAGTAAGTAATCTTTATTTATATAGCGCCTTTCACAGACCAGAGTCACAAACCGGTTTACAATAGTTATTTCTGGGCATTTGTCCTCTCACTCCACACAGAGATGGGAGCGGGGTCGGTGTACAGGAGGCGCATGCCAGACTTATTGTACATGTTTTTAGTGGTAGGGGAAACCGGAGTACCCAGAGGAAACCTACGCAGACACGGGGAGAACATGCAAACTCCACTCAGAAAGGCCCTGTTCCTACCGGGATTCGAACTCAAGACCTTCTTGCTGAGAGGCAAGAGTGCTAACTTAGCCACCATGCCGCCCGCAAATATAATGTATTTGTGTTATTAGCACTACTACAAAACTAAAAATGGACACTGCTTTCTTCAAAGAGTGATCATTAAAGGGTTAAGACGTAGCACAATCATTCAAATGTTCAAAAGTCAAGAGTAATTCTGTGGTTGTACATTTTAGTCGACTGGTGAAAGAGGAGACCTGAGCTGTGGTTGGGCTTTCCTCAAACTGACAGACGATAACGGAATGCTGCTTCCCAATAGGTAATAATCATGTTTTTACTTTAAACCTGAAAATCACCAAATAATGCTTGAAAAAATGGCATTGACTGATTTGTTTATTTTTGACGTGTAGAACCTATGAGCTGTCAGTTTGTGGTGGAACGCCTTTTGAGAAAGATGTGCCAGTGGAGGTTTCTGCCACAAAAGGATGTAAGATCAAAATATCAGCGAACAACCCATGTTCGGTTCTTATTTATTCATATATTTCCTTTTTCAGCTCCAACTAGTGTTTTCCAGCAGATGCTCAAGTCCAGACAGCAGCCCAAACTCATCATTAAAATAAAATCTGCCGGCAGCCGCACCAGGATAGGGCTCAGGTGAGGCAAGAACAGGTGTATTAATGAGAGGTCTGGGTTCTTCATGTTAGAAAAATCTTATTTTCCTTTTTTGCTACATATAAGCTAGATAAAGGTGTGACATGATTTGTTTAGTCTTATATTGAGCCCATGGAGAAAAGTGTCTCTGTGTTATCTCTGACATTCAGCTGTGTATAGTGTTATTCTACAGCTGTTTGTCTTTGAGTACTAGGCATACGTGTAAGAGTTTATTTGGATCACAAAGGACATCACATAAATAATAGATAAGAGCTGCATGAGTAAAATTATCACAATTAAATCAACATGTTTGTGGTCACAAAAGGATAATCATTTATTTGAAGCAAAAAGAAGTAAACAGAAATAATGCAACAAATGTGAAATAATATGAATATATTATTACCATAATTTATGTGCATACCACAGCATTGTTTATATGTTTTTGATAATAAACTGTAATTTAAATTTTACTAAAATGTACTACAAATTTAAATAATACTTTTCATGGAGCCATAAAGTTCTTCTGTTTTAACTTTAAAATTCAACATGCTCGTCTATCCTCCTGACATGCCTGAGTGTGATGTGTCTCAGTGGAGAGGATGTGGTGACACTGACAGTGTGTTTCTCAGCCTCCTGCCAGACTCTCTGCTGCACAGTGTGAGCTGCATCCAGCTGCTCACACTGCACCGACAGCTGCTCGCTGACGCCCTGCTGATGGAGCGGCCCACCATGCAGAGCGCAGGTACAGGCAGAGCGCAGGTACAGGCAGAGCACAGGTACAGAACGCAGGTACAGGCAGAGGGCAGGTACAGGCAGAGCACAGGTACAGGCAGAGCGCAGGTATATGGCAGAGCACAGGTACATGGCAGAGCACAGGTACAGACAGAGCGCAGGTACAGACAGAGCGCAGGTACAGAGCAGAGCAGAGCGCATGTACATATAGAGCACAGGTTCATATAGAGCCCAGGTACAGGCAGAGCGCAGATATTTAGAGCACAGGTACAGGCTGCTACTTACCTGCTGTTTGTTTCTCCTGGTAGCTCTGATGTGCAGCCCAGTTCTCGCCACCTTTCCTCTGATTGTGGATCAAGTGGATCTGCTGGATGCTCTCAGGGTACACGGACAGTTTCTTGTTACATGTAAAAGCAGAAAAAATGTAAGAATGTGATCTACCAATATTTGCCTCGACATAATGTTTTTCAAGGCACATTTGAATCTTAGAGTATTTGGAAAATCAGTTATAGGTTGTGTTCATGTTGGAGAATTCTAACTTGGCTTGTGCCAAAAAACAACTCTATGGGAAAGAAGCAATTTTAAGAGAAATTAAAAAGAAAGAAAAAGTTAAAATGCTTTCCCAGATCATTATTTGATATTGATTAGATTCCCAAACTCTCAAAAGTCCTTACTCAGGGCAACATCATGCATATGTTTTTGAATATTACACCTCATGAGACAATAATTGATCATTGCTGACAAAATATATTTGGAACTCTGACAAATTCTGTTTCTTTCGAATTGGCCTATCAAATTATTTCAAAATACCGGTAACTTTAAACTAGGATTGAGATCTGACTTTTGGCAGTTTCCATAGTTATTAGCAACGCTTTTTCTGCTGACCTCCACCACAATGTTTAATCATAGGCTATTTGGAATGCATTTATTTTTTACGGAAAGAAACATAAGCATTTTGATTATGGGATTTTCTTCTAGAGTGCCTGGATGGATGTTTACACCAGTATGAGCCGATCACAGAAGGTCAGTATAGTATTTAAAAAGATCTCGAATACAACATGACTGTGTTCGTAATCCGTTTTATTTGTCTACAGAGAGACTTGTCCCATGTGAAGCAGGAGTTTCACAGAGTCTACATGTCGTCTGCCTACTTCCTCCTCCACGCAGCTTCACTACCGAGTTACCGCTGGGCTGATCCCTCCACAGAGGAGCAGAGAGCGCGCCTCATCTACACCGCGCTGGACTCTCTCACGCACAAACAAGCTAACACTGAAGCACTAGGGGGCGCTGAAGTCTACGTGAACTCAGACCATGAGCACCTGCCCTTTGATATCACGGAGTGCACTTTTGACCTGCTCAGTGTGGCGAGGTAACAGCAGGAGAAACTCAGGTTATCATAAATGTTTACTGTCAGTCTTGCACAGGTTTATTCAGTGCCTCAGAACTAAGAAAGATCTGAAAATATCAACATTTTCAATTCCTCAGCTTGTGCGTGTTACTGAACATGAATAGCTTTGGAGATTTTTTTCTTGCATGTATTTTACTCATTACAAATCAGGACTCAACTCTAGATTAGTTCACCTTGAATGACACATGTACAGTGCTTTCTCTAATGTTTCTGGTGGTGGCCTGTGATTTACAATAGTAAGAGTTTAAACCATCCATCTCCATAGTGACAGGTGGAGCCGACATGATCCGTGGAGAACTCCAAATCACAATGAGCTTCAGGATGTATTATTTAGAAAGTAACTGTCTTAATTGGTAATTGAATGAGTAGGTACATTGGGTATATTGGGTATATTAAACTGTACTTTCAATACAATGCCTATACAACAGCTCTGCAATGCGTCACATGGCTTTTTTCAGTTTCAAATGTAGTTGTACATTAGTGGTCAGTTTTCTCAGTAAGCACCTGAGCACACTCCCTATTTGAAATGCCAAAATCAACATTGTAAAAAAATTCAAAGAATGTTGCTTATAATGATGTAATGATGATGAGAGAGATTTTATATTGTGATCCAGTAGCTTGTTTAAATGTATTTTGTAATAAACATTCTTTTACGCAATTTTGGTCTTTTCCATTGAATGAGCAGCAGGTCGTTCCCACCCTTTAGTTCAACATGAAAGTGAGTTAGAGTAGAGTTACAGAGTGGGGCGTGTCTGAATCTATAATGAGGCCTTGTCTTTTTATAGGCGTCTATTTAAGAAGAGCTGAGGGATGGGAGCTCAGGTCAGCAGGCGGTGAGCCTTCGGCCACAACTGGCACAATGTTCATTTTATATAGTTACAGAGTGGTCTAGAAGAACACTCAGAAATGAAGTCGTCCACAACATAAGTGCAGTTCTGAAAAAAGGAACCGTTTCATGTCCACCCAAATAATGTTTGTGCCTTATCGTATTGTCCTATGCCAAGTTTTGGAGATGTGTGTTTTCAGGCCATTCCGGACTAATTTTTCTCTCTGCAAAAGACGGGACAATATGATATACTTTAACTAAACTTATGCTGAGAATAGTGGTCCATAAAGCATCACTGCCTCAGACTCTCTCCCTGATGCTCGTCCTGTATTTCCACATTCCTGTTCTGCTTTTGTTTGGTCAGTGTTGTGTTGCGCTGGGTTCAGGGTAAAGACTTTCTTCATAATCACAAGTCTACTAACAAAGACTTATGTAGTATTACATAACTGTATGTGGTTTAGTAAGTGCATCAGGTACAATCCAATCAAGAAGTGTGAGATATTTATGATGTAAATTCCACTGTTGTGGAAGGGGCTTTTCAAGTGGATCTGAGTGGGCTCTGGTTGAAACCCGTCCGACGAGCTGAGGTTTCCTGAGGTGATAACTCAGGAAAGATGATATTAAAAATACTGGAGAAACAATTCTCAACCACAAACAATGAGTTGTTTACTGTTTATAATGAAATATTCTGAAATACAGAAATACATTTTTATGTATGTATGCACTGTTGATGTCAGGGTCCTGTAAAATTATTGTCATTTATTTGAAGTAGTTTATGGCAATTAGAATGAGACCTAAATATTTGGAGGCAAAAGACAAAGCAAAAAGCATGTTACTTCATCTCCCTGCACACACTCACAATTCTGTATTGTTTGGTCCCACAGGGAGCAGTTCCCATGGTGTTTGTGTGTGTGTGTGTGTGTGTGTGTGTGTGTGTGTGTGTGTGTGTGTGTGTGTGTGTGTGTGTGTGTGTGTGTGCGTGCGCAGGCTTTAGCGCTGTAACCAGACCCATAATGGACGAGCTGTCCAAGGTGTGTCCGACTTGACACTGGTCCAACACATCAGTCCACTAGACTTATAGAGACTTGCAAAAGTCAGCACAGATTGAACCTCTTAAACATTTTAACATTTTAGCACAAACTTAAAGATTTCCTTTACTGAAAAATCACAACAACATGTGTTATTACAACTTTAGTTCAGCACTTGTCTGTAAAGGCCATCTGTATTGTGTAGTGTACAGATTCCCCCAGATGAGCTGGAACTATGTCAAAGGCATCGTACACCTGTAGCTTTTTTACCAAGTTTTAGATTCTTCATTTTGCTTTCACTTCACAATTGTCTGTTTCTTTGTTGTAATCTTTAAATTTATAAGTATGAGGATAAAAATAGCTACAAAAATGTCAATACAAAACCAAATCAATGATATACCGACAATGAAATCAGTAAAAAAAGCCAAAAATAAATAAAATCCGTACAAACAGGTAAAGTTGGTTCTGGGGCGCTCTTCTACAGCATAGAGCCAATCTGGGACAGGGCCTGGGACCACCGCAGACTCATGTGGTCTGTGTTTAGGATTCTGCTCGGACTAAAATCTACAAACACATTCTACTTCGTGATAGCGCTGGGCAGAAAGACTCACTGGAGATTCCACCTCCAGGCCTTTCTGTGAGTTTGCATGTTCTCCCCATGTCTGCACCGTGTCCCTACCACTAAAAACATTTACAGTACTTCAGGGTTAATGAGTGTGTGTTTGTGAGTGTGAATGTGGGACACAAATGAGGACAATCCGGAGAGTTGTGTTCAAAAACATAAACCGTCCCAACCAAATAAACAATAAATACATACATGAAATAATAAAGTTCTTTCCTCCATGTTTAAAAAGTGAAGAAAAATAAATAAATAACATAACAGCCTAATTATATAGTGGAGGGATGATATTAACGATACCAACCCTAGAGATTAGGATATTATAAAGAAATAGATCTGACCTATCAACCGTAGACTTTAGTTGTAAGTGAATAATGTGCCGAGTATTGTTCTCTCTTAATCCTGTAGCGTAGATACAATTGTTTTGCTTTTCTGGGCGACAAAACAGAAACCAACAAAGGGGATAAGTCAGGAAAAGAAATGTTAAGAAATAAAAAGACAGCGTATGAAGAAAAAAATACTGTTTTCCAAAAGAGGCTGTAAAATATGCTTGGAATTCATTTAGAAAAAAGTAGACTCTTAAACTGTTAAAACTAAAAATACTTGTACAGAGATTTTCAGAATACTTGGTACGGAATACACTCATAAGTTACTGCATTCAAGCGCAGTTACTGTACAGTTTAAGCTACACTGTGATATTTGGTTCAAAATACAGTTCATCAAAAATAACATACCGTAATTTAGTGGCGCAAAATATTCTTCTCATTTCTGCATTCAACTTAATAAATCAACTTTATTTATATAGCACATTATTAAGCAAATGAGTTTCCGAAATTCTGCCGTAAAAAGCAATATAAAAGTAAGCGGTTAAACAAAACAAACCAATAGAATACAAAATAAAATAAAAACTTTACATCACTTGTTCTTTCTTGGGTCGGTGGCTACAGTACATACAGCTCTACTTTGTGACACATTCAAAACAACATAGTCCCTTGATCATGGCTCACTTTTCCTACAATCCCACACTGATTCACCAACTTGAAGACACATTTTTGACTCTTTGACTTCCCCAGGGTTGAAATGGGATGTGCAACCGTTCAAAGACACATCTCCAAATTCACTTACAGACAGCACTAAACCAGAAGACAGGTTTTTGTTCATGAGGAGAGGGCTTTTTGTTGTGTTTGAAGATGAATCCAAACACTTGACCTCCATCCTCGCCTTGCTCAAACAAACTAAAAAGTCATGTTGGTAAGGACGCAGAGGGAGGAGGCGGCTCAGGGGGAAGGGGAGGGGCAGGAGGGTACTAAAACTGCCCAGACATCTTCCTGGCTCCATAGACACGCAGCCAAAGCTCTGGGATTATGGCCTCAAGCGCGTCCGGAGACGTGATGCCCACCGGCGGACGCATCTTCACCTCTTTCCCCGACATCTTCTTCCTCCCAGAGTTTGTGAGTCCTTTATGTCTATTATTACTGAAGCATTGTTCCTGACCCCTGGAGGTCGTCTATAACAACAATAATTCCATGATGAAAAAAACCAAACAATATTTAACTTATAAAGCTCTATTTATGTCTGCATGTATGTTTGGGGTATTTCCTCGCTTCACGAAGGCATCAAAAATACATGTGCATAGCTAAGAAAATATACATATAATCATTTGCATCCGCAAGATAAGCATTTGGTCATTTGTCTAAAGGGTGTGGACGTGAGAAAAATGGCTACACACACACACATGCAAATATCATGGTTGTTGTATATTGGAGAATTGTTTTTATAACCTTAAAAACTAAGTCCACATGGTTTTCTAAAGTCCCAGTGTAGGTGTGGCACTGAGAGCAGCAAGGGCAAGTTACAGGTGGATTGGAGTTTTATACCAGAACATTAGTCATTATCAGTGAATAACATTAGTATTCAAAAGCACAGGCTAAGCACCAAAAGTAGAGGCATCCATCAGCCAAGTTAGGAGTGACTATCTCCTTACAAATGACTAACATGCATTCACTCATCTTACCGTCTTGACTGGCACCTCGTCCTGTTGTGATATCACATAACACCACCAGATGATTTCTAAACAAATGTTTCTTGATTTAGTGCCAGGTGAGCGGGCTTCACTGCTGTGTAGCATTTTTAATAAACTCACAAACGGTTGCTTTAGCTGCTGCCTTTATTCGCAAATAAGGATTGTCTTTAGTCATGTTGACAGAAGCTTGTGTTTCTGAAACTGTGCAAAGACCTGACAGTGTTCATTTATTATTTTGTGAAACATTTGAGCAGTTGCTTTTTCTTTGTCTCAAAAAAACCTCTCTAGAATTTGTGAATCTCTGTTCAATAAATTCAACTAAAACAGAGGAGCACATTATCCAAAGGAACCATAAGTTTCCACTCACTTCCTCCACTGCCCAAAAAGTGAAATACAGTTTTTCAATTTTGTGCTGCAGGTGCCCAGACTAGTTTTATAATGACATCATTATATTCTTAAGAGGGCGGGAACGCTGCCAACACCATCTCTGTTCAGGTGCTTTCTGTATCAGAGACTGCCACAGGGAATAACAGCTGGAAACGTACCGAAAATATGGATTATTTTAGATATTATGTTCCATGTTAGTTTCTGCCCTTCAGTCAACAATATGATTCACAGCCAAACTAACAGATTTCATGTAAACTTGGAACATCAGCGCCATCTTTATCTCTGACACTTTTCTTTTCAAATACAAAACTCTAATCAGAAATTGACAAAACAGCTGAATACATGTTCATTCAAACCAGTATCCAGCTAAAATACATACGAGACTGCTCATGGATATAAAGACTAAAACACAGTGCTGCTGTCACAGGTTTTTTAGGTTTTTGTTTTGAGAAATAAACTCACTGAAGCAGAATGTTTGACGAAGGCGGACACTTTTGTTTGGACGCCCTGCCCGTTTTGATCTGTTCATTCAATCGTTCGAAACCACACTCCAGAGATAACTAAATACAACAAAGACTTAAATTTAACATTTATTAGAAAGAGGCTTTAGACTGCTGCTCATTTATTTAATCATTCACTTATTTATTATTGACAGAAGACCTTTTATTTTGTACCGTGCTCCTGCTGGTTTGAAAAGAATTAGTTTCCCATGTTCCATATTGTGTCCATAATGTGGTGACTGTAAATGCTTTGATAATAAAATGTTCCTTGGTGCAGGTGTTTGGGGGCCTGGTGTGGATCCTGGTTGCTTCCACGAGAGTTGATGCTCCGAATCCTCTGGGCTGGGTCATGTTTGTATCCATCTTCTGCTTTGTCGGCACAACGCTCTGGTTCTTCATCTTTCTGTGTGGAGCCAATCAGAGCAGCGTCTGGCCAGCACTGGTGAGACCCCTGAAAGAAGACCACTATAGTAACCCTCAGAGTATACACTTGATGGCAATATTACGCCTTCTTGAAGTCTCCCATCCATATATTAAACAAGCCAGTTTTGCTTAGCTTCAGAGATTGTCAGGTGGAAATGTGATCAGTTTTTTTTTTTTAAGGTAGTTTTCGTTTGAGGTCTTTGGTTGACCCGCTGAAGATCTGTCCTGTCCAGCAATGAGCCGACTAAAAGCTACTCTGAAATGTACTCCCAAAACTTTAATTTCATGCCAAAGCAAACATTTATGAAAAAATAATAAAAAAATCTGTTTTAAATATCAAAGTAAATACTAAAATGTTAATGTAATTTCATCCTAATTTTATGTAATCTCTCAGTGATAGAGGGATTATTCAAAACAAAGGCAGGTTGTTCACGCATCATCTGCAGGTTTTCCCGACGTTTCGCTCTTAATCCAAAGAACTTTTTCCCTGATGGGTGAGAAACCTTCCTTAGTTTTCATCCTAATGTATCATTCTTGCAGTTTTCCCATATAAATCCTTGTACGCAAAAAATATAGAGATCAACTGAACTAGTGTCTGTAAATACTTATCAATGTATATCAATATATACACTGTCGCATTCATATATGTGTCTTTTCTATCATACTGGATTACATAGACCTTTCTCTTGTTTCTTGTTGTCTCTGTTCTCTTCAGGATACGGGCTATCATTTTGTGGCGATTGTGTTCTACTTAAGTGCATCTGTGGCCTTGGCCATCACCACCGTATCGGCAGGACTGACTCTTCAAATAGCCGGTGCTGCAGGACTCCCCACTGACCTGTTTCTCAAGAACTACAGACTGGACATCGCAGCTGTGGTCAGTAACCCTCACACGTCTGCTTCCGACACATGTCACATTTCAGAATCACTAACCGGTGTGTGCGTTGACATTTGCAGGTGATGTCATACCTGGCCACACTGCTCTACTTCATCCACACCATTCTCTCCGCTCTACGATGGAAGAGGTCCTAGAAATGTTATGTCTTATTTGTTCTGCTCTTTCCATAGATAGATGTTTAATCCTCAAAACCAGAAAGAATTTTGTCCAGCAGTAAGTTACTTTTTCAGAGAACCAACCACCAAAAATAAGCGTAACAATTAACTCGGACGTATTAGGTAAATGTTATGGATAATATCTGTGTTCTTAGTTATGAGTGTTGTTATGCTAAGTCTATAGTAAAATAAACCTGCACTAAATAAATCTGAGCACAAAGAGTAATAATAACCCAATGCTTAATATTCTGATGGTCAACATTTCATACCTGTTTACTTGGTATATCATATGTCTTTCTCTAGGACCTGAGTTTAAAATGTCAAACTGTAAAATGTATAAACTAAAGCGTTGTTAGGGGCGGGGCTTCAGCATCATGTGACTGGTTGTTTACTGTAAGCACAACTTTGTAAGCACCACATTTCTGTGTGTTACCAGCTTTGACTTCATTTCACTTTGACTTCTCTGTAAAACGACTACAAATGTAAATATGACTTCACAAATTACACTTTTGAAATAAATGGTGTTTTTCATAAGCTCCGAGGCGTCGGTCTCTGTGCTCTGTGTTTGAGGAAGAATAAGTGAAGGAAGTGAGAGTGGAGATCTGGGTCTAAAACCAAACAATCATCACTAGGGTTCACATGCATTTCATTTTTGGCCCCTTTGACATCTTCATATCATGTTTTTCAGACAGAGTAGAAAATTAGAGGGATGACCACCCTCTTTTTCAGCTTTTAACCCAAATAACCAAATAGGGCTCTTTCTTACAACTATGCTAAAGATACATGTTTTTCAGCATGTTGTGGTCAGATTTGTTCATAAAGATCATAAACAGGAATGAAACCATAAAGTTAGGTAACCCAGCTTTAAGTTTCTTTGGTTGGGACAGTGCATGTGCCTGAACACAGCACTCCAGATTGTAGCGATGGGCTATTGTACATGTCCTTAGTGCTATCCAGATAAAAAACGGCTGGTGCTATGTGACTTGGGAGCAGCTCTGATTGCCACCCCCCGACCCAGAAATGGATTAAGGGGTAGAAAATGGTTGGATGGATGGATGGATAAAAACACCCTAAAACGCCACAAAAGAAAGGCCCTCTCAGGACCTTTTTGCAGTGAAGCACAATGCTAACCCCTGAGGGATGAAGGGATGACAGAGAGATATGGAGGAGAATGTGGCCGTTTATCTGACCAGCCTCAGTATTTTTCAGTTACTTTTTAGCACAGTGTATTAGTACCGTTTTTGAGCAGAGCAGTGGGAATTGATTCATTGTTTAGAGTTGACACAATTTAAAAAATGACAAAAAAATAAAACTGTTTCCAAATTGTATAGTCACAACTTTGGTCTTTACCGTCAACAGTCAGTTTGATTCGATGAATGACACCCTCCCATTTAGCAAATAAGAGCAAAATGGAAAGAGACACCGTGTAAACAAATTGCCAAGGCAAATTCTGTCATGACTGACGGTGCTGTTGTGCTCCAAACGCAAATTCCATGCCCCATAAAAACCCCATTGTAACAGATGTTTACAAGTTTCTGCTTCGATTACTATGAAAAACAGTGTGTAGTAGGCAGTAGGCCAGGCAGGCTTGTGAATATTGCAGAACCCAAAACTCAGTGAGCTGTATCCCAACAATAGAGACACCTTATCTGCTCTGGCTGCAGTGTATAGCCTCTGGCCACATATTTCTGTTTTCCAGAGTTCATCTTGGGCACAGGTGCACACACACACATACTCATACACACTCAGACTTTAGGGTGTGCCTGGATTGTACCAAGTTCTTGCTGTGGGAACAAAGGCAGAACGGGTTTGTCCGCTAACTTATCCCTCTATAAGGCTCAGTGTCACCTGCAGCAGCTCCCGTTAGTCCAGGACCGTGCAGGAGGGAAGAGGGAGAACCGGAGATGGCTGCTACCAGCGCTCAGCCCATGGCCAGCCTGCCCAGCGGCCTGGGAATCTGCACCACTGCACCTGACATCTTCTACCTGCCGGAACTGGTGAGTACCCTGGATCCTTTTGTGGCTTTTTCATCACAACATCACATCCATGTCGTATAGTACCTCACATGACGGGGCAGTGATGATGTGGCTATTATTTTTTTCACAATACACTATTTGAAACATTGACAGTCCCCTTTAAAAGAATATTTACTTTATTTGTATATCTACCCATATTTATATTATATCTATAAAATATTAAATTATTCACATTACAGATTTTAGATGATGAATGCCTCAACCTTCCACCTGCAGCCAACACATCTAAAACCAAATGCATCCTCTGAAACGGGGATAATTCAGGATGAAGACTAGACTGAACCAGGCACAGAGCAGGCAGTACATTCTCATTTCACTACAATATTTTCTTTGAGCCGTGTAATCAAAATAAACATACATTTTTATTGTCAAATGTTCTTTTTTCACTTTTCAGATGCATGAAATTCCATTAATAACTTGTTCTCTGCGGGAAATAACTGGGTCTTTATCTCACATTTCACTCATATTGTATCTGTGCTTCTAATCTAACAAGAAATGCGGCCACAGCTTTTTCTTTAGAACCACCAAACACAGCAAGCGCTCAAGTAACAAGCCGTGAAATAAATGACATCTTTCTGATGTTGAAAATGCTTCGTAAATGTTAAAAGATTTCAGAAATAGTAATATAGTGAATTGAGCTAAACTCAAAACACTTAAATATTATTTTGATGCTTTTAGATAAAGGCTGTACTTATGTTGAAAGAGTGAAACTGTGATTCACTTTCTTCTGAAGATCAGAGAAAAGAATGTAACAAAGCAAATACATTTCAGTTATGTCAAATGAGTATAAAGACAGGGTTGTGTGAGTGTGTAAACAGAAGGAGTCCAGAGTTGTTTAGACGTAAAGACACAATTTATAACTGCTTGTTCAGTTTAAATCCTTTTACTAATGTTCGGCTCAACATAAAACTTGACAGTCGACTTGTTTCATTATAGTTGCTGCAGATTAAAATGAAGAATTCCCAAAACCATGAAAACAACACTTTTAAAAAGTAGTAGTAGTTGCATATACAGTCGTTTACAACAAACCACTGATAATGTAATGCAAATGTACTCCACCATTATGATTCAGTTATACATGTTTTATTAACCACCAGTGTGTGGGCTGTGCAGATCTTTGGAGGTCTGGTGTGGATCCTGGTGGCCTCCACTCACATACTCCCCCCAAACCCCCTGGCCTGGGTCATGTTTGTGTCTGTCTTCTGTTTTGTCATGACTTTCCTCTGGCTGGTCATCTTCGCCTGTGGAGGACACAGGAACAGCTACGGCTGGGCGGCTGCTGTAAGATCTTATATCATATCATTAATCAAGTTCTAAATCTATTATTGTGAAGCATGTGGCTGTTTTGCAGGACTTTATCTATCACTTTTTGGCAGTGATCTTCTACCTCAGTGCAGGAGTGGCTCTGGCCTACATAACTTTCATCAATGAAAAAACACTAATGCTTAGAATCTACAAGATCGACATTTCAGCCGTGGTGAGTGTAACCTTGAAGCAAGTCCCATCTCTGACGGCGCAATGGTTTTTACTCAAAGAATAGTAAAGATTCTTTACAAGCATTACATCTGATCCAAACCAGGGCAAACCATGACTGTTCTACACATACTTTGCAATCATCGAATCAGACTTAGTGTTTTTCCTGGAGGAGGCTTTGTTTAATTTGTATTTTTTAGTTATACATCCCGTGTCTAATTGTCGCATGCTTTGTTTCAGGTGTTTGCCTTTGCCACCACACTCTTGTACTTCATTCATGCCTTGATGTCTGCAATCCGGTGGAAGAACTTCTGATTTTACAGCTTGTGTAAACGCCATCAGGACTTGGTAGCTCTAATTGTTCCATTAATAATGTTCACATTAATCAATTCATTTGAAGGCTTTGATTTTATTTTTATACATTAAACTAAAACATTTTTCAGGCCTGACTTTATTCTATTCCATTACAATGTTCTGATCTGAAGTGAAGAGAGGAAAAACAAAAGTGTTAGCTGTAGACTAGAATAATCTATTACATATCGTTTTGTATAGTCTTTCTACTGAAATCTCATTTAAGAATAAAATGATAGTATTTTTGGACATGTGTTTTTTCCACATACAAAAAAATAAAACCTGTTTATATCACCCCTTTGTCTAATATTTTTTTTAGCAGAAATTTGGATCTTGACGCCATCATGAATGAACCTGGCAAGAGCCAGATTGATGATTGTGTGGAACTCTAATGCGTTCTCCACAAGTGTTTGTGAAATCACAAATACCACGAGAATTCAGCTTGCAGGCAAGGTTAATCATGAATTGAACATTGAGCAGATATTTATCTTTGTTTACACAACCTTCACAAACAGAAGGACAGAGGAATGAGCTGAAAAGGAGTGGTCCATAAAACAAAGGGACAGAGCAGCAGACATGTGGGCAACAATTAGTTAGAATGTAAGGATATATATATGTGTGTACACACACACATACATATTTTTTTGAAGACTTTTATAATACTTAATAATAATATAATGTAAATAATTGCAAGGTACTGTATATGAATTCATGTGAGACAGTGTGTAAAACATTTATGAAGAAATATGGGAAACTAAAGAAGCAGTTTTGGTCCACTCGCTGTTATGAGGCTGGGTGGAGGAAGGGTAGACAAGGACAATGTATATATGTTTGAATTTGATATTTTATTCAGCAATAGCCATGGAACTGTAACCATAATAATCTTTTATACATGAATGGACTGGTATTTTGACAAATGTTCCATCTTTCAACAAAGAAGTGCGAGTCCAGACTTCCTCAGTCCCACTACCAGATGGTGCGTTTCACGGTGGCCCAGTTGGAGCGCTTCATGCCCTGTGCGGCCCTCACGTCGCCCCAGTGCAGTTTGGTGTTGGGAACCTCGTCCTCCGGCTCGGGCTCTTCTCGCACTCCTGTGGTGGGGCTGGCCACCACAAGGGGCAGCGGCCCACGCTCCGACTTGAACTCCACCACATGCAGCTGTTTCTTGTCTGCAAGAATCTGGTGAGTTTCCTACAAAAGAGGAAGTGAATGCAACTCAAATCATTTCCAAATAAATGGAACGAAAAAACCTGAACCCCACACTTCAATGTTTGAACAAAGAGGTTTTGGAAGTGCTTTACCTGATTGGCTAATCCAGTGAACAGAGCCCTGGTGATGTTGAGCAGATTGACAGATCCTTCTACTTTGCAGTACATGTCCTCAACGCCGATCAGCCGACACAGTGTGATGACGGCTCGGTGACAGTGCAGACCGTAGCCTGCAAGAAGGAGAGTTTATTCTAGCTATTTGAAGAATACACAGACTTCAGTACAAGAGTTAACAGAATATGGCTCTGGAAAATCATGAAAAGATATTTAGTCGTGTATGAACCTCTTTCACTGAAGGAATATACATAGTTGTCCCGAATGAGATTTGCTACTTATCAGACCTAGCCTTGGAAACATTTAAACCACTTTATACTATGAACTATGTAGAAGAAACAAATGTATAACTGTATTAAATTCGTTTCAATTGGACAGCTTTAGAACGAGCACTCCTTGAGGTAAAAGAAAATGTCTTACCTTTGTTTTGCTTCTTCATGCGGAGCTTTGTCCTTTTGAACTTGGATTCAATGTCATGATAAACTGTCAAAAAGATAAAAGCAAATGGTTAATGTCTGTGGAGTAACAGCGGACAACGCTCTGCTGCTGATGTGAATAATCAGTTATAGATTCTACATTCATCCACTGAGCTTGAAATATTCATTTTCTGCAACAGACGGCACTTACTTTGTCTAGACGATTGTTAGAAAATGTACCAAAAAGGAAACATTCAAAAAATATGCAGTAAATCATTTTATTTCTCATTTATCTTCCCTACAGAAGTTGTTTGAATCACAGTTGGATAACAGTAAGGTTTAACATTTAGTTTCAGCTTTATTTTGCAAACAACATTCAGTTGCAGTTATAATTTATGCACCTACAGTAGTCAAATATCCAACCCAGTGTAATGGGAGTGAATAGGAAACTAGTGATTAGTCTGATTTACTGATTAAGTAGTAGTGTGAAGGCTGTTCAATTGGAATTCGATTACAGACGCAGCAAAAAGGGATGGCAAGAGAATCCCTACGCCCATCACTCTACCCCTCTGTGGACGCTGTTCCCACAAAATAACTATACTTTGAGACATAAAGTGAAGATAAGATTAGATATTGTATGTGTGTGTGTGTGTCTTACAAATAGAGCAGGAACGAACTAGTGCCACTGCTGATTGGCCCTTTGGTCGCCTGATAGTCGCTACCCAAGGATTTGCCTTCTGATTCCGGCCCATGGATAAGTATTGATATTATGCATCTACGACTAACTACATAAACAGTGATCTAGAACTTAAACGCATACGTACTTGTGTGGTTGTTGAATCGTTCGATGTAGTACAAGAAGTGGACGGCTCTGTTTTTGGCCTGGGAAAAATAATGCAGTTGATTATTAGAAACAGAGCAGTGTTATTTTGCTTCTTAAAAAAAAAAAATCATACTTTTCTGAGAGCTGTATTTCTATCTGCCGCTTTCCCCACAGCAAAACCTGAAAAAGATAAACACAGAAAAACCTATAACATTTGTGATATGGACGCTATAGAAAAACATATTCCAAAATAACATATATAATCATGATAAATCTTGAATGTCTATATATAAATTGGCTATAACTAGAATACAAATGTTTTACTTTCAGTCAGAATCTGAACGAGTCTGACAGTTTATAAACCGCAATACAGCCAAAATTGCTGTTACCTTATTTAAAATGTGAAGGGGGTCCTGGAACAATTTCAAATAAATAAAAAGAGGAAATCTAATGTGCATTATATGTATCAAGAAATATCAGTAATCACCAAGTGCAGCAGAACAAATGTTTTTTTTAATCAGAATGGTCCAATCACTAAAAAATGTCCTTAACTATTCGATGGATTTCCTTTATAGCAATACAAACCATAACCAAATATAGAGAGGCAAACAATTGTCTGGGTTCTATTGTTTTGGCGGGTTTTAATCCCCGAGTTTGTTCAGTGCAATATATTCACAAACAAACTCCCACCTGCAGCTCCGTTGCCGTTTCCGACGGCGACCAAACAGCTGATAGACCTCTTCCTGCCCACTTTGGCCGTCATGTTGAAGACGCTTTTCACCTGCACGGACGACACATATCACACACGTGGCACTGACCTTTACGTGATACACTGCACGCTGTCAAATCAATAAGTTATGGTTATTAAACACAACAGAGGTGTGACCCACGCAGGACAACAAGAGGCCCTTTGTAATCTACTCCACGTCCGTCTGCCAATTCATCCGAACCTGCCTGCCTCGGATTTGCGCTATGTATTAATTGGCTGTTTAGTTCTCTGCACACATGTCCTCTTTCTCTTATACTCTCTGAAAGGTCAACCATACCACAAGGGGGCAGCATTGAAACGTGGACCAGCAGCAGGAGTTTAGAAAAAAAGATATATATTTGCCAAAGCCTGTTTACAAATGGAAGAGGAGGAACAGGACTGATAAAAATAGAAAGCATTAAAAGGCAAATACTATAACATTGACAGCGCCATGAGGCCGTCATGCAATAAATATAGGACCGCACTGTTTTTGCACGGCACAAAAAGAGCCTACTGGAGGATTTACAGTTGTATCTGAAGAGAGAGGTGCCCAGCCAGAGGTCAATTCAATCGCTGCTGATCCACCAATATGAGGAGCAATCAAAGTGTGTTTGTGTGTTGCTGGTGGAAATGTGTGATAAAAGAAAAAGTGATGACTGAAGAGCTGACACCGAATGCCAGAGTGGAAGGATGTGTGAGCACTTCTGTAACTAACCAGAACTGCTGACTCCGGGAAGAAACTTACCGTACTTTATCTATTTTGAATTTCATATGCACAAGTAAAGAGCTCAGTCCCCAAGCGTACACAATCTCCCACTAAAACGCCTGCCATTCATTTATTAGGTTTGATAATAATACATGTTTGTTCCAACAGAAAGTAAATGTTAGGATCACAACATGCTACCTTTATTGCATTAATTCCATCCATCCATCCATTTTCTTCCCCTTAATCCATTTCTGGGTTGGGGGGGTGGCAGTCAGAGCTGCACCAAGTCACAGAGCACCAGCCCCTCACTGATCCTCCTGCAGGTGGTGGGTCCACAGGAGCTGAGGTCTTTCAGCGGGGGCTTCAGGCAAAGTGGGGTTAAGTGCTCACACAACGACAGCAGTCATCAGTGGGATTCGTGAAGTAGGTCTTATGGTGGGCTCAAACCCACGACCCTGAATCACATGCGTAGTTATCTTGGAGGACTTTGAAAACATGTGCATACTTGTAAGAAACTGCGAGTCCCGATTTAACGTGTTGGGCTGAGAGCTGATTGCCGCGGGGAGTGAACTTTTTCCCTTTTCTGTCGGAAAAAGCTGATCCACAGTTGTGACAGAGGCCACAAAAGCATGTATAAAGAAAACTAATGATAGAAGCTGTTTTGAGAACAATGGATGTACTGTATTACAGAGTTTATTTTTGTGTGGTTTGAAAGTTAGGTACCCCAACGTGAATATTATTTACAAAATATCATTGATGTTCAAACAATGTAAACTGTTGCATGCATTATGAGCGCATTTGTGTCAAGAGGATTTGTCAAACCTGTCACTTCTACACAAAAGAAATGTGAGAGTTGATGACTACATTCATTTTCTATTTTACGAGTTTGTCAAAACAGTAAAATGCGTAAATAAATAATTGTGAGCGAATTGACTAATCCTAAAAAACAAATCAAAGTGTATGTTAGCATGGGATATTTATAGCACGGCGATGCAAAAACAGGGCAAAGCTGAGAAAACTTCAAAGGGCAGATCTGTAGCCAACATCCTGAGTTATGTAACAGACTCGCACTACAGCAGAGCACAGGGACCACTTTCCAGCTAAGGGCTCATCATTTAACTGCAGGGCTGAGCAGTGGGATTGGGGTCAAGGCAGCAGCAAAACACCCAAACATGGAAAAAAATACACGGCTTCAGGGCACAATTTCAGCCAAACTTGATTCAGATCAGTGGAATCACCAACGTCCCATTAATAAAAAAAGCCTGCCTTTCAGCCAACCCGCACAAGTTCTTTAGCCATTTTGGGGGGGACATGTAGCCGTTTTGAGTTTATTTTTCGCCGTGGGAGCAGATGGGCTGATGGGTCTGCACCAGATGAGAGACAGCAGGCTGGTTGGAGGGCCTTGCCAAGCCATTTCGCACCTCCGTTTCATGTCTTATATCTCAGTCTGTTGCTGCACGTCTTGAGCGGTGCGTGTGCGTCCAGGCCACAGTGGAGAGGTGGAGCAGAAGGCAGCGTCAAAGCACCTCGTCCCATGCCAACAACAAACACCTCCGACTTACAGTACACCACTTTTTTTAACCACACCATGCGTGCGTTAAAAGCTTGTATGTTATGCATTATTCAGGCTGTAAACTGGGAAGCTTTCGTCTCGGTATTACATGTATTAATACTTCCTTGGATTTTACCGTTTTTTAAGACTCAAAAGGCTTTACATTACATTACTCATTCAACTCGTACTCTGAGGCAGTGCATTATTTCAAAAATCCACAGCGGTCATGGTATGGACTAACATAAGCAGCTACCACCGGAGTCACTGATCATCCGTACTTAGGACTGAGAATCGCGATACAGTATCACAACCACATGTGAAAATCAATATAATGCAAGTCGTATCGCACATGGGAAGTCAGGGGTTCAATCACCGGGGCAGACTGAGCCTTCCTGTGCAGCGTTTACACTCTGGGCCTTGAGCGCTGTACGGAAGCAGCCTCTGACAGCTCCCAGAGGCGTTGAAGGATCCAACGCAGAAGAGGAATTTCCCCTCATGATGGATCAATAAGTACTTCTCATGAAACATAAGATCAGGTATAGATTTTTTTCTAAGCCTGCTCCTACTGCCGTGTCCAGTTACAGTAGTTAAGATTTCAATCCATGGCACGGCTCATGCAATTTACATTTCACGTCTTTTACCTACAATAAGGCGTCCATGCAATAACTTTAAACATATTTTAGCCAAATATCAAGTTTTCCAATTAATTGATTAGTCATTTAAACCAGAGATGAATCAATGCCACTCAACTAAATACATTTACAGTTATATTTTAGTACAGTTTATTTTAGATTTTAAAAACATTAAACAGAGGAAGCAGCTTAGATTATAGAGCGAATGAAACAAAACACATCTCCATGTCATTTGTAATCACCACAGCTCTGACTAACCATCATTTTAGATAATAATAATAACGATTTTTTTTTATATAGCGCTTTTCTGGGCACTCAAAGATGCTTTACATGTCATTATTCATTCACTCCAAACACGGTGGTGATAAACTACTACTGTAACCACAGCTGCCCTGGGGCACACTGACAGAAGCGAGGCAACCAGTATGCGCCATCGGCTCCTCCGACCACCACCAACCATTCATACACACACCAGACTCATTCTAGGCAATGGGGGTAAAGTGTCTTGCCAAAGGACACAACGGCAGTTTGGCACTTTACAGCCACAGCCGCCCCACTGTGGCTGCTGTTCCCAGAGGCTAAGTGTCTCCAAGGACACAACGACAGCAGACAGTGGAAGTCGATGGTGAAGGTCGGGCTCGAACCCATGACCCTCTGGCTCAAAGGCCAATGCTCTACCAACTGAGCTACTGTCGCCCTAAAATAAATAAATCAATTAATCTACTGATCATTCCTTTTATTACCGTTGTTTAGATATAGAGCTTTATCTAAATCTGACTCTGAAAAAGCCAGAGATTTGTGAAATTCATCTCTAATCTTAGTTTAGTAAAACAGAGTAATCAGTTTTTTATCTAATTGCTGCTCTGTTTGTGATCTGTTTTGTAATGATTTAATGTTTTGTTTTGTATTGTTTATGATGGATATCTTAGATAGATAATAACGGCCAAATCACATACACAATAGCAGCAGAACTAAACGCTGATCTTCTAAGTACCACTCACATTAACGTGTTTTGAAATACACTAAGCCATCTTTAATCCTCTTTAGCGTTTCAACTAAAATTACATGTTGGTTACCTTCGACAAAACTTTCAAGGTTATTGCCTTTTATGGAAAGTATAAGACCAGAGCAGAGCAGCTCCGACGTCTCTAATAATGAAAGTCGAGACGTGTCCAAGTGCTGTGGCTCCTGGAGGAAGGCCATGGACATCACTTAACTTTGTCTCCTTTATGCTGCGGTCTGAAAGCACCCAGGCTCGTACCTCTTCTTATTTATACGATTACAGTCCATAAAGCTCCCGGAGACGACAAGTATCTGTTAGATGGCCGGTTTGGAGCAAATTAATATTGACACAAAGTGAGTCAAGACACATGTAACGGAATCTATACTGAACTTTCAATTCAATCCAATACTTTGCACAGTCTAGATTAGGCCAGTCTTTCTGAAATCATAATTTATCTCCAGCTACACATACATACCTCATAGCCTTTTCACAAATATCCGCTAACTCTGATATAGTGCAGCTGCCATAGCAAAAATGAAAAATCCCTCTGTCCTAATGATACCACATCAAGTTCTGCATTAGCCTTGGTGTGATGCTTCATTGGCTGAACTATTTCTCTGTGACAGACTAAACTTTGTTCAACTTTCTCTCCCTCCCTCTTCCCTCTCTTCTTTTAGATGTTTTCACTAAGAGCGTGCCAGCTGCATTGTCCTTGAGAGAGAAGCTTTTTTATTCCAGGAAGATCTTTTCATTTCATTAGGCTGAATTTATAGTAGCACACACAGTGGATATTTATAGACTGGGATTGCACCATAAAAAGCAGCCACCACTTTTTCAGGGGGAGCATGACGTCTGGCACAGTTCGGGAGATGGGGAAGACTATTGATGTGACACAAAGCCACGCATGCAGTAAACATATGCTAGTCCACTGTCATGTGTACAGTGTACTTAATGAGTATGCACCCCCCCCCCGTTTGTGCCTTTCCCACCATCCGTTTAAAGGCTCCATTAGCTGTAATTGAATCAAGGTAAAATACAACGTGACGCATTCAGAATCTAAACAAACCGCAGCCATTTGAAGCGTTTATCTTGTCACACACACGCACAGCAGTTTTGAGCTGCTTGGCGTCATCAGTGATTCATTATTAAAATAAAATTATACAATTACAATGTTTGATTTTGACTTTGTGGTATGTTCATTTTAAGCAACTAATTGAACATGAACTCAGTATTCAATGACAAAGTGCTCACCTCAATGACACGGGAATCAAAGTCTTCATATGTTTCTAGGGGGAAAAAAAACAGACAGACAAAACAATTTAACAAAATGAATAAAGAAAAACAGTACAAAAATTAAGTCATGTAAAAAACAAACCAGATAAATGAAGCTAATAGATTATAAAAAGAGCCCAACATCTTTGCACCAAAAGACAAAGAATTCCCTCCCATAGGTCTGTTTACTTCTGAAAATCAACCACCAAGATAGGTTGTGTAATTAGAGCAATTAAAGCAAGATCCTTGAATGGAGGGGCCTGCCCCAGAGCAGTTGTGGCTACATTAGAGATTTACCACAATAAATTACAAGTGACTGAATAATGCCATGAGAAGCATCTGAGCCCCATATGAACACCGAAGCACAATATATTATTCTTCTTCTTATTATTATTCTATTATTATTATTATTATTATTATTATTACCACCCATACCCTGATGCTACAAACATTTACAACAATATATTTCTTGCACTAGAATTTACACTATTTTTTTCTACTTGCTTCTTTATGATGCTTTTTCTTTATTTCAGCATAGAGTTATTGTTCACTAATCTTATCTGTGCTCTTCATTCCAACTGTTCTGTAAATGGTGATGCAACACTGAAATGTCCGCACTGTGGGACGAGTAATGGATCTCTTAATTGTAACTATTCTTTCTTACAGAGCAACAGCAGAGCTCACACATTTTCCTCTAGTGGCAGTGTCCTGGAGCATGTACAGGACAGACATAACACATAGAAAGGGAACCTGTCAGAGTAAATATGTCCATACTGGAAGGTTAACTGCAGAGACAATCATATTTGTCGGAAGTGAAGAGCCTTTATACGTTCACTTTCTTTAGCTGACCTTGTTCAAGTCTCTTACTAAAGGGGAGTATTTTGATCCAAGACATTAGATAGTTTTGTGTGATTCAATTATCCAACATTTCTACCAGCAGTTGCCATGACAGCAATGGAAAAAAATCAGGAAAACCAAGCACATGAAGTAAAACAGAATTTATTTTTCTGATTCTTGTGTTTTTAAATAAGATTTAGTCAATCATTACATTAAGTGGTTAATTGTCCGTCTGGCAGGAAGAATGAGGCCCGCAGATAAAATCACATTTGCATAATGTCAAGTAAGGTGAGAGTGTAATAAAGATGAATTATAGAGTAATGGTGTAATGTGATGGGGAGATAAAATTATAGTTTCATTAAAGTTCAGCTTTTGGCCCCAGGTCAGAGCTTCAAAAAAGACAAAGAAAAAATATTGTGCACCGAGATGAGAACTGGCAATTCCCAAAGTCAATTTACACTCACAAGTCAGCAGAGTCATGCCAAACACAGCTAATTACCTCAATACATAAAACATATACAATGAAAAAATATATACATAAATAAAAAAGGTACTTAAAAAGGATTCATATTGTACTGAAGATGGAAATGAGATCTGGAGAGCAACAAGTTATGATTATTGTATTAATATATCTCTGGAACTCACTCCCTCAACCCATGAGAAACTCAGACTCACTACAGAACTTTAAATCTCTTCTCAAAGCCCACCTGTTTCAGCTTGCCTTTCCTTCATTTTGTTTCTCAATGTTTATTTTGTGTTTTGTAAAGCGTCTTTGAGTGTCCAAAAAAGCCCTACATAAGTTTGATGTATTATAATTTATATATGTATGTATCTTCATAACAGGCGTCAGTAACTATCTGAAACAATTATATGGTCACCTTTTGTAGCTGGCTTTGTGGAGATCTGACTTAAAACAAGACTGTTGTAGTTGTGCATTTGTGTCCTTGTTCTGTATTATATTGATTATGATATGAATCCCTCTCCCGCCTCCAACTGGTCCAGAACGCAGCAGCCAGACTTCTCACTGGTTTTAACAGAAGGGAGCACATCACTCCTGTTTTAGCGTCTCTCCACTGGCTCCCTGTGCGCTTTAGAATTGATTTTAAGACTTTACTGATCACTTTTAAAGCTCGTTTAGGTCTGGCACCCAGCTATATTTATGAAGTTTTTACCCCCTTAGATCCTCGGGCAGGTCCCTGTTGACCGTTCCAAGGTCGAGGCTCCGGACGAAAGGTGACCGAGCCTTCGCTGTCCACGCTCCTCGGCTTTGGAACGACCTGCCCGAGGAGATAAGGCTAGCACCATCAGTCTCCTCTTTTAAAACACTTCTTAAAACCCACTTTTGTTAAACAGCTTTTAATTGTCAGTTTTAAACTTCTCATGTTGTATTCCACTGTCTGCTTTGTCTTTCTTCTTGTGTTTCCTCTGGTTGATTTGTCTTCCTGGATCTTCTATTCTATCAAATTATTTTGACTTTGTATTCTTATGACTGTTTTATTGTTTATTATGCTGACTGTGCAGCGCTTGGTAAACATTTTTGTTGAAAATTGCTGCATGCAAATAAAGACACATTATTATTATTATGAAAAGTGTGATTGTTTTGAGTTTGGGGGGAGGGGGTGATCATAAGCTTTTTGCTCTAGATTAGATTAGATCATAGACTGTATATATTAACGGACAGAGTCACGCCTATCTCCGCCGTTCTAACTAACGGGCCAAAAAATTTGCTCTACTGGAGCAATCCAAAATGGCCGCGAGTGGTCCCGCCCACTCGCGGCCAGATGCTGGCTGATGCATCTGCGCATGCATCAGCCAGCGCATGCGTCAGCCAGCGCAGCTCCATTCATTTGAACGAGAGACTTCAAAAATTCACAGCAAGTAAACTAGAGTGGACCAAAAAAATCCACCCCCCCTCAGCATTGACACACATGTGGAACGGAGCTTTGGGCCAAGAGCCAACTTTTGGTCCATCCTGTAAAGACGTTTTCGAGAGGTCTGCCAATGCTATATGTTAGCATTGGCTAATTCTTCTTCTGGGTCCACCCCCATCGGCCCGGGGTGGTATTGCAAGCATGTCAGCGCACGTCATTTTGGCCACTTTTGAGCTGGGACCCTCCCCCACTGGATTAGATTCAACTTAATTGTCATTACCAAGTCAGAACAATGCAACAATGCAATTAGCATCTAATCAGTAGTGCAATAGCGCAAGTAGGATAATATTTACAACACCCAATAGCCCACTCCTTTTTTGAGTTGAGTGTAATACAAAATACTAAATCAGATGAGGTCAACTAAGTGAGTACTGGATTGGTTTACATATTCCCTAGATATTGTACATCTTTAATTAACACACATCCAATACACGCCAATCAGTACCTCCATTTGGACCGGGATCAGGAGGTCCCAGACTGATTCCTCCCCAAGATGAGCCGGTCCATCCTCGCTCCTTCTTCACTTTTAACTTCCTCCTTTTCTCCCACTCATCTCTCTGTCGAGCTATGGATGAAAGATGCAAACATTTTTTAGAAAGAAACCTCCAAAAATGGAATCACAATCACCCTATTAGCATCTGCGTGTATACCTATCTCTGCTTGAAGCGCCTGCTGCTCAGCTTCACCTCGCTGGGACATATTTTGAACAGAGCCGTCCTTCACAACTGGAGCATTCAGGCCAGGCCACAGGAAACCACCACGACCTGAAAAAGACAATCTTAGCGTTCAAGAGAAAACCTGTGGTTATTGTGATAGCAACAATACACCGTTACCTTCTCCGAGGTTCTGCCCACGGTTTAAGTCTCTCTTCATTTTCCGTTTGGTTCTCTTCCCTCTGCCTTTTCTTGCTCCTGCTCCAGTCTCAGCCAGCACACCTCTCCACAACTCCTCCGCTGTCACTGCATGTTCAAGCAGACGGTGGGAATGGGATGAATTGGATTTAGATGTTTATCTAAACTTTCATAGGATTAAATCCACTGGAAAAAGGAGAGATTGCATTTTCTGTGTGCGCTAATTTTAGAGCATTTAAACTGAAGAAATACAGATTTATTTAGTTTACATTGATATTATATTGGTTAATAATATAAGCCACAGAAAATCATAATGGTTTTTCAAAGAACTACAAATGTTGTAGCTCCATAACCCAATACGACAGGAAGACGGTTTTCATAATATTGACTATAAATTCCTTACACTTGTTGAAGAAGCTGCCATGTCTGATCTGTGTCCATGTCGGGGGGTGTCTGGTGGGAGGTGCGGGCTGCAGACACAGTGGGACTGTCTGCAGGGCTCCTGTGAGGGGACGAGGAAGGGCCCCTGACACATTGACAAAATAAACATGTGTCAACACGAGGACATAAACAATGTAGTAATAATATCAGTGACACAACACAGTGAATGAGCGAATAAGAGCGACGTCAGAATCCGTGACGTAACGTGCTATTTTTACAACATGAAATATTGTAGAAGGTTTTCGCAGAGGAGGAGGAACATAATTAGTATGTCCACACTCCATAACACCAGTAATATCAGCGTAATAACCTTACCCCCGAGAGTAATCCGGAGGGCACAGCACACTCGTACGGACGCCGCCATGTTGGAATAGATATGAGGACCCCAAAGGTTGTCTGAGTCTGCCTGTACACAAATGGAGCGCCACAGACTGTGGCACAGCTAAGATAAGATAAGATAAGATAAGATAAGCTAGACTTTATTGATCTCACACAGGAGAAATTTACCTGTCACATGGCATGGACAGAATCACTCAAGATTGTGGAAAAGACAGAAATGTGCAAACATGTTAAATGCAGGATATATTATGTACAATAATCAAGTGGCAATCAAGAAACAGTGTCAATAAGTAGTGCATTAATGATTTATTTCATGAATTTATGAAGGATACAAAACAATAGAAGAAAAAAATATATATCAAAACAATGCTAAAAGGAAAAATAGATGCATGGAAGGAAAGCACCTTCTCCGCACACACACTGGATTACTTTACTTCCCCTTACGGAATTGTTATAGACAATATTTACAGTCAATATTATTACTTTTTGCTTCTCTTTTGGAGATATTCACTATCTTATTGTCCCAAACATGGTAATTATAGGCTAAATATGTTTCTGTAATTGTTTATAAAACATTTTTTTCATATCCATCATTTATCACCATGTTTGGAGTTGGTAAAAGCCTCAGAAAAGTGCCTGTTGACAGTAAAATGTGTTCTACAAATTGGACGCTACCTCACCTCTCCCCTCCACTGATGTCAGCTTGACATTCCTTATCCGTTTGACAGATGCTCTGATAATGCAACGTCATAGAAAAAACAGGCATTTTAGAAAATACCAAATGCATACACCACAAAAATAATGTCTCCTTTTGTCACACAAACCTGAACTATATGGCATCTATTCATTATCTTCATCAGTCTTCCTGAAAATGTGAGACATGCCCCTCTGATTGTTTTTAGCAGGTTTCTAAAAAGGTTGTGCCTCGCTACCAATGAATATCACTTTTTAACTAAAATGTCATCTGTTGTGTCAAGTGATTGATCTGCAGAGCTGTATTTGCATAAGACCTTCAGTCAGGCCCCACTTTATTCTCATTATCTACTTGAGACCTTTGCAGAACATTTTCTTACTGCATGTGCCTGCTTCCTGCCACAAAGAGCTGTAATCAAAGCAGAGCTGAACAAGCGCTGTCCAGCTGTGCCACGACAGGAGGTCTGCCAGAATCAGTGCATTTCTCATAACTTCTCTGCAATAATGGCGTCATAATGGCAGCTCCAGCAGAGTGTGAGGTTTTCTGACTCGTACAGTTGGATGCGTGGGAGCAAGGAGGATAATGTAACTTGGGGTAAACACACTGTAGTGGACTTTCTCAAGTCCAAACAACAGAGGTTTAAGAAGAAAGACGAAATGTTATATCGCGTTAAACTGTCAGTCAAGGTATTTCCATAGAAACAGATCAAGCCTTGATGATGGTGAAAACACTCTTTGCTTTGCACAAGCACAAGCAAGATGAAGGCTACATGCACCCACAGAGCAATTTGATTTGGCCCTCAGACCCTCTTCCAAATAAGAAAGCAAAAATATTGTATTTATTGCTTTTACTTTTGGTTAACATTGGTTCACACTTGTTGGATATTACAGTACATTATTTAGTTGGTATTTGGTATTGGTTATTCTAACACTTGTTCTATACATATTGTAACCACATTTTTTTCCAGCGCAGAGAAAGTAGTGTGTGGAAAGAAGAAAAAAACATCTGTGCAATTGATAAAAGATGAAAATGAGGATGAGGAAATGTAATTAATAGAGTCTTTATTTGAATATAATGTGTGGCCGTCCATACGCAGAGGGCTTAATGAGACATGAAGAGACTACTGCTGGGAGCAAAGAACTTGTCATAACAGCTTTCAGAGTGAACAGAACAAAACAATGGAATGGAGACAAAAGTGTGGTCAAAATAATGTTTAATTAATAATAATTATGCATCCGTATATGCAGTTATGATTTTTTTACACTATGTAAACTTCAGTATCCATGTACTGTGATGTGATCTGGATTTAACATGCCAATTTTCCATATGTAGCATCCGTTATTCCACGGATCACATCCACCAGTGTCATTCATTATCTTGCAGACAAAAGCACATTATGTGTTCTGCAAATGGTCTATGTCATTTTAATTCAATAACAGTGAGAGTAAAGTACTATTAAAAGAAAATGACTGACTGCTCTTAAAACACACTCTGAATAATGCACAAGATTAAATATTTATCCGTGTAAGAATTGCACAGTTAGCAAAGGTCAAGATCAAGTTGAACATAAGTGTGTGGAGCTGTAATAATTTTGTGGTACAAAGAGAAGAACAGAAGATTTATTAGTATGTCACAGTCGCACAGAAGGGGACTGTCCAATTATTTTATTCCAATTTGCCAGTGACGAGTCATCAAATGGGGAAAGAGTATCAATAGTGTTTCGCCAAGGGTCTACGAGTGTTATTCTAGTTTTTAATACTTTGGTTGACATCAAACATTCACTCAGAAATATACTCAAGACGGAAAAAAGACGAAAGATTGCATTAAACTTTGTGACAACATAATCTGAATTTCTGCGATATTTTAAATCTGGCCATGGCCGAAACGAATCAATACCAGGCGCTCGCTCATATTTTCTCCTCTTCTTCATTCACAGTGACTCATGCTGCCTAATCCTGCAGTCTTCTTAAGCACTGCACTGCTTGGCTTAAGTCCAAGAGGAAATGGCCCCTGGGCTTTACAGTAGAGAATATCACCGCTAACATCTGCCTTCAAACAAACTATTTTTTATTGTTGAGGAAGAAGTTCTGTAAGAAGCAGAATCCTGTAAGAATGCCGTATACTGTTCAAAAACTGTGTCTCAATGTAGTCTCAATGGGCAAGGCAAAATGTTACTGTAATTCAGAAAGCAGAGGATTTGACCAGAATCGATTTGTTTACTGCAGAAATAACAATAGGTTTCTGAAATGGTGCAGTGGACAAAGCTGGATAACCTCGGTGAAAGGTGAAAGTGTACACTGGGAATAATCTTATGAAAGGTTTTTGTCTTTCAGTCCCTTTATTGCTGACATTTTTCAGAAAAAACCCAGCTTTGTATTGCACTGAGCCTTATGGGCATCAGTATTACAAGTTAATATTCTACTTTTCATGTACAGTATTCACATAGAGCTTTTTGGATTCTGTGATTCTGTGTCACTTTCAAATCTGTTTCAAAATGTTAATGACCCGAACATAATCTTTACTGCACACACATTCATCACTGAGTTTATTTTTTATGTTTATTGCTCCAATGTTTTTCTGTTACCAGGTGAATACCTCACAGCCACATTAGAAACATTGTATATGTGTGCAAAAGTATTGGCACCCCTTACCATCGGAGCAAACTGATTTATTATGCACTTATGCTATAGAACTAAACCACTCACTTTACTCACGCTATTTGAACCTGAAGTTCAGCATCTGAAATCAAAATGTATGAGTAATCATTTGTATTATTTAACTGCATTTGATTATTATTTACTCATCTGTGCCTTTGCCTGAAATAAATGAAATGAAATGAAAAATGAATCATCCCTCACATCTATTTCCATCAAATGTCTTTCCACACACACCTCTAGCTGCACCAAAGAACTATATTCATACTGTCAAGAACCATTGTCCTGCTGCCATTTTGTTCCACTTCTTGCATTTCTTTAAAAGCAATTATAGATCTGTCACTACCACAAAGTAACAAAGTGCCTGGCATTAATCGTCTGATTTTGCTTTAATAATATACTTCCAACTCTTAATTAGGGGGTTTAGGTTGGAGTTGAAAATGTTTAATACTTTTTTTTCCTAATGGCCCTGATTATTTTGAAAAGCAATAATTTCTAGGCCTGGCATTTGGTGTGTTTCTCAATATGCCCTTGAACAAGAGCATCGTGACAAATGCCCTGGAGGAGAACGCTGCACCGCATCCTAAAAGTGCAACTAAGAACATTTGAAGCATCACGGACAAAATGACTCTGACACTTTACAAATGCTCTCAACAACAACCATTAAGAACAGCAACAAGCAGATAAATATTCCTGTTTTTCTCCCTCTGTCTGTCCATGTGAGCCGCTCTCCACTGTGATGGGCACAAAGGACACACAACACAAAATAAAACACCATCTTACAAGTTTGACACATCACAATGATGTACAATTTCCATTTTCTCGACCGTTAGACAAGCAACAAACTACATTGATTTGCACACATTGTATACACAAGCACACACACACACCATACACACATGCACATAACGCACACGCACGCACGTGGACATGCACAAGCACACACACACACACACCATACACACATGCACATAACGCACACGCACGCACGTGGACATGCACAAGCACACACATACACACACCATACACACATGCACATAACGCACACGCACGCACGTGGACATGCACAAGCACACACACACACACACCATACACACATGCACATAACGCACACGCACGCACGTGGACATGCACAAGCACACACATACACACACCATACACACATGCACATAACGCACACGCACGCACGTGGACATGCACAAGCACACACACGGACTTGCACAAGAATACTCACACAAGCATACAACCTCGCACCCACACACACAAGCATACACACACACGTACAATTGCGTGCAAACACACAAACACACACACAGACATGCACAAGCACACACACGAGCACACTACAATTATGCCCACAAACGCATACACACACACACACACACACGCACAAGCAGAGTAAAATCACGCACACACATGCACACACGCACACATGGACATGCACAAGCACACACACAAACACACTACAATCACGCACACAAACACACACTCGTACACATGGACATGCACAAGCATACACACAAACACACTACAATCACGCACACAAACACACACTCGTACACATGGACATGCACAAGCACACACACAAACACACTACAATCACGCATACACACACACACACACAAGCACAGTACAATCACGCACACACATGCAGACACGCACACATGGACATGCACA